ACACACATGGCAACCAAGATAAGAACAGTTGCCTCCTCCCAAAACACTCCTTTTGCAGCCGCACCCCCTCCCCACCCATAACTCCCGATGACCAGTGATCTTTTCTAACATCACTGTGGTTTTGTGTTGTTGAGAATGTCAAATATATGCAGCCATACAGTATGTAATCTTTGAGACGGGCTTCTTTCACTTAGCGTGATGTCTTTGAGATCACGTAAGTTTTTGCATTTATCAGTAGCTTGCTCCTTTTGACTGCTGTAGCATTCTGTTGTGTAAATAAATCTCAGCTTGTTTATCCATTAACCTGTTGTTTCCAGCATCTGGTGAGCTTTTAAAATTCCTGACGTTTGGGCTTCTACCCCCACAGAGTCTGATTTAATTGTTCACAGGCATTGGGAATGTCACCAGCTCCCCTGGTGATTAAATTCTCATCCCAGCTGAGAAAGCTGGCCCCCCGCAGTCTGGCCTCTACACTCCTCTGCCTTAGCTCCTATATGTCCCCCAAGCCCACCCTCTTTTACTCCTTGCTGTCCCTTGAACACACCACGCTTCTTCCTGTTCAGGGCCTTTGCACTTGCTATTCCTTTTCCCTTAAAACTCTCCCCTTTCTGGGGTGCCTGGAGGGCTCAGTCAGTTAAGCATCTGACTCTTGATCTCAGCTCAGGTCTTGATCTCAGGGTTGTGAGTTCAAGCCCCGCATTGGGCTCTAGGCTAGGTGTGGAGCCTAGTTAAAAAACAAACAGGGGCGCCTGGGTGGCTCAGTCGGTTGGGTGTCCGACTCTTGATTTTGGTTTAGGTCATGATCTTGAGATCGTGGGATTGGGCGCCACGTCAGGCTCTGCGCTCAGCGTGGAGTCTGCTGGAGATTCTCTCTTTCCCTCTCCCTCTGCTCCTCCCCCCTCCCCCCTCCCCCCACCCCACTCATGCTCTCTCTCGCTCTCTAAAACAAACAAATCTTTAAACAAACAAACAACTCTTCCCTTTCTTATTTGCCTAACTCCTTATTTGCCTTAACTCCCACATGTCCTCAGGTCTTAGGATTTAAGGTGCGCCTTCAATGAGGCCTACCGTGAGCAGCCCTTGCCGTGAGGGAATTTTAACCATTCCACACTTTACTTGTAGTTCCTGACATGTTCATCCTTATTTGAACAAATACTTAGTTAATATCTCCCTTTTCACCAGACTGTGAGTGTCATGAGGGCAGGGGCCACATTTGTTTATGTCATTAATTTATCCCCAGTGATTAGCATGGGACTTAATTTTTGTTGAATGAATGAATGATGTAATGGATTTATTTGGCATTTGCTGGACACAGGACTTAGAGATTCCTTCTTGCGGCAGTACAAGTAAATTGTGGATAAGACTCTCTTCTTGAGTCACTGTGATCTTGCAAGGAGTAATAGAGTCCCCAAGAATTACCCCCTCAAAAAAATGATCTGGCAGAGGGAGAGCAGGGGACAGCTGAGAGGTAGAGCTGCCCTGAGAGTGGCTGCTGAGAACAGCATTGCTACTGTAATACTAAGTCTTGGGCTGTGGGAGAGATAGGGGGTCTGGACTTGGTACTTGCAAGTTAAGCCAAGACCCTGAGAGGGGCTGGGAAGACCCAGGTTAATTATGCCCCTTAAGTACCAGCAGAACCAGAAGCAAATCCTCTCTGGAGGAAGACTTCCCCAATTTAAGTGTGTAAGACTCCCAGTAACTAAGATCAAGTAGTAAGTTGACACTCAAAGGCATCACCAGGCACACAAGAAAATAAGCCACCAGGAGTGAGTCAGCAGAAGCAATTCTCCAGTTATCTACTGCTGCAAAATAAACTACCCCTAAACTTGGTAGTTTAAAACAATAGCAGTAATTTATTTTGCTTGCAAATTAGCAATTTGGACAGGGCTCAGCCTCACTAGCCTGTTTCTGCTCCATGCAGTATGAGCAGGGACAGCTCAGTTTGAGGTGGGAAGAGGCACTTTCTAGATGCTGTACTCACATATAAGACAACTTGGTACTGGCTGTTGGCTGGAGGCTCAGTCAAGGCGGTAGGCTGGGGGGCCTCAGTTCCTCTCCATAGAATGCTTGGTCTTTTTTTTTTTTTTAAGATTTTATTTATTTATTTCAGAGAGAGAGCACAATTTGTGGGGAGAGGGAGAGGGAGAAGCAAACTCCCTGTTGAGCAGGGATTCCAACACGGGGCTCGATCCCAGGACCCTGAAATCACGACCTGAGCTGAAGGCAGACTCTTAACTGACTGAGCCACCCAGGTGCCTTTAGTTATTTTTTTAAAGACTTTATTATTTCAGAGAGAGAGAGGGAGAGATGCTTGGGCTTCTTTACAGCATGGTGGTCGAGTTCTTAGGGTGAGCATCCTAAGGGAACCAGGAAGAAGTTGTATTGCCTTTTATGACCTACTCTTGGAAGTCACACAGTGTCATTTCTGCCATAGTCATAAACCTGCCCAGATCAAGGTGTGGCGGGGTGAGGTGGGGGGGAGGCACAGATCCTGTCTTTCAGTGGATAGTGTCAAGTCACATTGTAAGAGGAACAAATCTTGTTGTGGCCATCTTTGAAAAATACAGTCTGCCACAACAACAAAAGATTCTGGCCTATCCAAAGGGCAAAGCTAAGACTGGGGTAAAGTTAAGTTGAAAATGACAGTCTGGGGGTGCCTGGGTGGCTCAGTCAGTTGAGCGGCTGACTCTTGATTTTGGCTCGGGTCATGATCTTGGGGTCCTGGATTGAGCCCCATGTTGGGCTCTGTGCTCAGCGGAGAGTCTGCTTCAAGATTCTCTCTCCCTCTGCACCCCCCCACTCCTTCTCTCTCTCTCAAATATTTTTTTAAAAAGAAAGAAAGAAAATGACAGTCTGGATGGGGGAGAGACTAGGTGGAGAATCTTGCGTGCCTGGCAGAACAGAGAGAACACAGTGGGCTGCTCTATAGTAGCCATGGAAGGTTCTAGAATGAAGTTCCATGTGGTCCTGTGGGTGGAGACCCGTTTTGTGATGGGATGGAAAGGGGCTTTTATATTAGCAGAGAGACATAGTTCTAAGTGGGAGAACAGCTATGGGATCAGAGTCCTCTCAGTTTTGATTGGGTCACCTGATGACCCCTAAGTCAATCACTGGGGTTGGAGAGTTAGATACTCGGAATGGCCGAATCTGAGTGGCCATTCGGGAGCCCCAAGTAGAGTGGACTACATCCAATGCACAAAGCCTACTTGAAGTGAGGGAATAGGTATTGCTGCTTCCCAAGAGTCAGCATGGGAAAGGGTGAATGGACACTGGGTGATAAAACAATTGGACTCAGGAGTTCTAATGGTTCCAGCAGAAAATACATAAAAAGAACTTAGAATAGGGATTGGCATGTGGAGACGGCTCATGAATGCTGTTTGTCTGTTGTCCTTATTTCAACTATTTATTGGCTTCTGACCACTCGTAGGATAAAGTACAAACACCATAAGATGATCTTCATTGTTTATCCTGGTCCATCTCACCAGCCTCAATTCCCATCACTCCCTGCCTTACCAATTCTCCAGCAACAATTTTAGGAAAATCTCTCCCCCCCCAGTACTCTTGCGATTCTCTGTCTCAATGCCCTGCACACCTACTCAGCCTTTAATATCAGGGCTCGGGGACCACTTAACATCAGAGGACACTCCCATTACCACCACCAAGTTTTTATCTCCAGCACAGACCTCTCCCCTGAGCTCCAGATCCCAATATACAAACCACTTACTTAGAATCTGGGCTAGAGGGTGCCTGGGTGGCTCAGTTGGTTAAGTGACTGCTTTCGGCTCAGGTCGTGATCCTGGAGTCCCAGGATCGAGTCCTGCATTGGGCTCCCTGCTCGGCAGGGAGTCTGCTTCTCCCTCTGACCCTTCCCTGTCTCATGCTCTCTCTATCTCATTCTCTCTCTCAAATAAATAAATAAAATCTTTAAAAAAAAAATTAAAAAAAAAAAAAGAATCTGGGCTAGATTTGTTCTTCTCAGACGGGGCGGTACCGCCCCCAAGTGGGAGTTTTGGAAACTTGCGCAATTGTTTTTAGTTGCCACACTGGAGGGCGCTACAGACTTTTACAGGGGAAGAACCAGGAATGCTAGACCCTCCTTCCGTGCCCTAAACAAATTGAAACCTTCCTTAAAGGCGTTTAAAAGGTTTATTAATGAGATATAATGTAAAATTTTAACGGTGTAAAACACACATAAAGAAATGTGCCCATATTACAAGTGTTCAATATGATAAATTTGCAGGAAGTGACACCACCTGTGTAACTAGCACCCTGGTCAGAGAACGTTCTGATCCCTCTGGAAGCTCTCCTTGTATCACATTCAAGTCCAATTTCTCTCTGCCCTAAAGAAGACCACTCTTGGGGCGCCTGGGTGGCTCAGTTGGTTAAGCGACTGCCTTCGGCTCGGGTCATGATCCTGGAGTCCCAGGATCGAGTCCCGCATCGGGCTCCCTTCTCGGCAGGGAGTCTGCTTCTCCCTCTGACCCTCCCCCCTCTCATGTGCTTGCTCTCTCTTTCTCTCTCTCAAATAAATAAATAAAATCTTAAAAAAAAAAAAAAGGACCACTCTTGACTTCTTTTTTTTTTTTTTTTTTTAAAGATTTTATTTATTTATTCGAGGCAGAGAGAATGAGAGACAGCATGAGAGGGAGGAGGGTCAGAGGGAGAAGCAGACTCCCTGCAGAGTAGGGAGCCCGATGCGGGACTCGATCCCGGGACTCCAGGATCATGACCTGAGCCGAAGGCAGTCGCTTAACCAACTGAGCCACCCAGGCGCCCCCACTCTTGACTTCTAATGCCACAAATTAGTTTTGCCTGGGATCAAGGCCCACATCGGGCTCCTTGCTCAGCAAGGGAGCCTGGCTTCCCCCTCTCCCTCTGCCTGTGTGCTCTTTCTCTTGCTCACTCTATCTCTCAAATAAATAAATAAAATCTTTTAAAATAAAAAAAAATCTGGGCGCCTGGGTGGCTCAGTCGTTAAGCGTCTGCCTTCGGCTCAGGTCACGATCCCAGGGTCCTGGGATGGAGCCCCGCATCGGGGTCCCTGCTCTGCGGGAAGCCTGCTTCTCCCTCTCACACTCCCCTTGCTTGTGTTCCCTCTCTCACTGCCTCTCTCTCTGTCAAATAATAAATAAAATCTTTAAAAAATAAATAAATAAAAATAAAAAATAAAAAAAGAATCTCCATTTTACTTTTTCATTAACTTTTTTTTATTTTTTTATTTTTTTATTTTTTTAAAATACGGAATACTTTTCAATTTGTGTGTCATCCGTGCACGGGGGCCATGCTATCTTCTCTGTATTGTTCCAATTTTAGTATATATGCTGTGAAGCAAACACTATTTTAATTTTCTTTTTTTTTTTTAAGATTTTTATTTATTTATTCATGAGAGACAGAGAGAGAGAGAGGCAGAGGGAGAAGCAGGCTCCCAAGGAGCAGAGAGCCCGACATGGGACTCGATCCCAGCACCCTGGGATCATGACCTGAGCCGAAGACAGACGCTTAACCATCTGAGCCACCCAGGCGCCCTATTTTAATTTTCTTAAAAGTAGAAGAAATACTCTATTTTCTTTGAGTTTATTCTATAGTTCATTTTCTAGTTTTTTTTCCTTTTTAAAAATTTTTCCCCAAAACGAAACAGAATTTTCCCAACATTATTATTATTTTAAATTTTGTTAAGTTTTTAATTTTAATTCCAGTATAATTAACATATAATGTTATATTAGTTTCAGGTGTACAATATAGTGATTCAACAATTCTGTACATTACTCAGTGCTCACCATGATAAGTGTGCTCTTGATCCCCTTCACCTATTTCATCCATACCCCATCCCCGGCTCCCCTCTGGTAACCATCAGTTTGTTCTCTATAGTTAAGAATCTGTTTCTTGGTTTGTCACTCTCTTTTTTTTCCCTTTTGTTCATTTGTTTTGTTTCTTATGTTCCACATACAAGTGAAATTATATGGTATTTAAAAAAAAGAAATCAGGGGCGCCTGGGTGGCTCAGTCGTTAAGCGTCTGCCTTCAGCTCAGGTCATGATCTCAGGGTCCTGGGATCGAGCCCCACATCGGGCTCCCTGCTCCGCAGGAGGCCTGCTTCTCCCTCTCCCACTCCCCCTGCTTGTGTTCCCTCTCTCACTGTGTCTCTCTCTGTCAAATAAATAAATAAAATCTTTAAAAAAAATAAAATAAAATAAAAATAAAAAAAAGAAATCATATGGTATTTGTCTTTCTCTAACGGATTTATTTCGCTTAGCATTATATTCTCTAGCTCCATCCATGTTGTTGTAAATGGAAGATTTCATTCTTTTTTATGGCTGAATAATATTCTGTTGTGTGTTTATACCACATCTTCTTTATCCATCTATCAGCAGACATTTGGGTTGCTTCCATAATTTGGCTATTGTAAATAACGCTGCAATAAACATAGGGGTGCATGTATCCCTTTGAATTAGTGTTTTTGCATTTTGGGGGTAAATACTCAGTAGTGCAATTACTGGATCATAGGGTAGTTCCATTTTTAAATTTCGGAGGAACCGCCATACTGTTTTCCACAGTGGCTGCGCCAGTTTGCATTCTCACCAGCAGTGCAAGAAGGTTCCTTTCTTTCCACATCCTTGCCAACGCTTATTGTTTCTTGTGTTTTTTATTCTAGCCATTCTGACAAGTGTGAGGTGATTCCTCATTGTCGTTTTGATTTGCATTTCCCTGATGATGAATGATGTTGAGCATCTTTTCGTGTGTTGGCCATCTGTATGTCTTCTTTGGAGAAATGTCATTTTCTAGTTTCTTAAGATAGTCACTTAGTTCATGACTCTGGAGCTTTCTTCTTTTCTAGTGTAAGTGTTAAAGGATATAAATTTTCTCCAAAACACTTCTTTTGATGTATTCAACAGATTTTGATAGGTAGTATCTTCATTTTTTTATCCAGTTCTTGATATTCTTTATTCCTCCTATGATTTCTTTTTCTTAATCCAACTTGGGCCAATTAGATTTGACCTGTCTGAAATTTGGAATAAAGGACTACATTTCAGAGTCAAGCAGCTGTGTGGTGTTGGGCTTCATGGTGCTTTAGAACGGGAGCAGCCAATTCCTCAACAAGCAATCATTATGGACAAGGAGGGAAGCTAAATACCTACAAGGAGAGAATGGAGGAAATCTGCTGAGGGATACAGACAAAGGATGAATGCACCAGTGCAAGATGAAAAGAACTGGATAGATTTATACAACCCATGAGACCCAGTTGCACTTCCTACTTTTGACTTCTGTGACATTGTCATGCACCTTTACAATATATTTTTAAAATTTTAACCTAATTTCAGATATACAAATATATAGATTCAGATATAAGAATAGTACCAAGAATCCCAGTACACTTCACTCACATTCCCCAGCAGTCAACATTTTACCACATTTGTTTTATCCTTTTCTATCAGTGTGTATATACACTTTTTCCCCCTCAGCTGTTTGAGAGTAAACTGAAGAGACCACACCCTTTTACCCTAAATGCGTAAGTGTACATTTCGTAAGAATAAGGCATTCTTTCACACAACCATAGTATAATAGAACTAACATTGATACAATATTGTTATCTAATCTACAATCCTTATCTAGTTTTGCCAATTGGCCCCATAATAGTCTTTATGGAAATTATGTGTTACCCTCAGTTCTGATGTCTCTTTAGTCTCCTTTAATCTGAAACAATTCCTCAGTGTTCTTTTTTTCTTTTTAAGATTTTTATTTATTTGAGAGAGAGAGTGAGAGAGATCACAAAAGGAGAGGGAGAGGGAGAAGCAGAGTCCCCGCTGAACAGGGAGCCCAGTCCCAGGACCCTGAGATCATGACCTGAGCCGAAGGCAGATGCTTAACCAACTGAGCCACCCAGGTGCCCCTCAGTGTTCTTTTTTTTTTTTTCCCAATCTTCTTCTGTGTTGCATGACCTTGGCATATATGAAGATTACAGGCCAGTTATTTTATAGAATATCCTTCAATTCTTGGGGCACCTGGGTGGCTCAGTCGGTTAAGCGGCTGCCTTTGGCTCAGGTCATGATCCCAGGGTCCTGGGATCGAGCCCCACATCGGGCTCCCAGCTCTGTGGGAAGCCTGCTTCTCCCTCTCCCACTCCCCCTGCTTGTGTTCCCTCTCTCACTGTCTCTCTCTGTATCAAATAAATAAATAAAATCTTAAAAAAAAAAAGAATATCCTTCAATTCCTATCTGTCTTCGTCGTTATTAGATTCATATTATGCATTTTACTCCGGAATATCATTGACATTCTGTCATATTCTCAGTATTTCATACCAGGGGGCCTGTGATGCCATTTTGTCCCATGACTGGTAATGTTAGCTTTGATCGTTTGGTTAGGGTGGCATCAATCATGTTTTCTCAACTATGAAATTATTATTTTCCGCTTAGTAACTAGTAAAACAAATGCTTTTTTAGCTCTACGTAAGCTTGAGTGAGTTTCTGCCCCTTGCAAATTATCCATCTTTTGTATCCATTAACTAAAGACCCCCATTCAAACTGGCTTAAGAAAGAGGGTAATTTATGGTTGCAACTAACTAAAGCCACCATTCAGATTGGCCTAAGGGGAAAGGGGAATTTATGGTCCTGAAGCAGCTCTAACTTCAGGCACATCTGGATCCAGGAGCTTGCTGTAATCAGGAACTTGTCTCATTCATAGTTATTTATGTAAATTAAAAGGGACTAGATTCTGGGCAGACAGAAGCGATAGATATTTGCTACCTTGATTCAAACAGTGGCAAAGAGAAAATAGGAAGTGCACGAAGAGATCCAACCACAGGATGGAGTTCCTTTGGGGAGCCTTACCCAAGCTGTTCAAGTGGTACCCAGCAACCCAGATCCAAGAATATTAGTATATTCTCTTCCCTGGCCACAATGATTGGTTCAGGGATGGGCTTAAGACCCAAGCTGGGCTGAGGGAAAAACAGCCCCAGGACTTTCCAGAACTACTGGCCAAAGAGGCACCGTGGCTGCTGAGCTTGTGGAGTGCCAGCCTAGAGCTGTAAGGGGTCATCTTTCTTAAATGAAGAGTCTACCTGAGGGTGAAACCAACACAGAGAAAAGCAGAGCCAAGAGACATAGAAAAATAGACCCTTCCTGGCTTTGTTCCAATACTGGATCCAGCAGTGCTTGAAACCAGCATTCCCCTGACATTGTCAGCTAGAACAGCCAATAAATTCACTTTCCTGCTTAGCCAGTGTGGAAACAGAATGCTGTAGGTCTCTTCTTCGAAAAAGAAAAATACACAATTAGAAAAGTTCTGCTTTTAGGAATCAAATCATCTTTAATTTTTAATTTTTATTTTTTTTAGATTTTATTTATTTGACAGAGAAAGAAAGACAGCTAGAGAGGGAACACAAGCAGGGGGAGTGGGAGAGGGAGAAGCAGCCTCCTGGCTGAGCAGGGAGCCCGATGCGGGGCCCAATCCCAGGACCCTGGGACCATGACCTGAGCCGAAGGCAGATGCCCAACGACTGAGCCACCCAGGCACCCCTCAAATCATCTTTTAAATTAAAGGGGAATTGTTTGGACCCCAGTGCATTTGTGTATTCAAGTGCTGTAGTGTAAAAGCTTGTTTTAGTCTGCACTGATAAAATAATATGTTGATGAGCATTTGAACCTACAGTTTTGATAATATGAGTAATCAAGTAGAAGTGGAGGCCTAAATGAAGATTATACTTAGCTATAACTCTGTTCTCCATGAAAATAGGCTGACTTCTCAGTTTTTCTGCGATTCAATATAAACAACAAGAATTCTCTTGCTGGGCTGCTTTATTATGGAGACTGTTTTACAAATCACCCTTACTGAGGTATAACTTATGTACCATAAAATGCACCCATCATAAGTGTACAGTTCAGTGAGCTTTGACAAATCTATACTCCCATGAAACCACTGCCACAATCATGATATAGAACATTTCCTTCACCCCCAAATAGTTCTGTTGTGCCCTTTTGCAGTCAATTCCCTTCTCATGGCCCCAGGCAACCATGCTCCATCCCCTTAGATTAGCTTTGCCTGCTTTAGAATTTCTATAAGTGAAATCATACAATATGTATTCTTTTGTGTCTGGCTGGTTTTATTGTCTTTTTGTTTTCTATAGTCTGTTTACGTTTACATGTGTGTCATAGTTTATACATCATATTTTAGATACCTGTGGAAAATAATAAAATAGGATATAACAGTGGTTCACAAATTCCACTTATTAGCCATTTCAGATGTAGTTGAACTCAAAATGAACTATTTTTAATATGTCTTTTCCAACTTCTGAAAATTTTACTTTTTAAAAAGTATAAAGACCCTGGAAGAGGTTTTCATTATTAAGATGTCTTTTACAATTCACTGTTTCCCTTTGGAGAAGTTTAGTTTCTAAAGTCAGCTCCCAGAGCAGTCTTATTCATACAAGCCTTGTTGGCACCAGCTTGAATCATCTCCTGTCACTTACACACACCTCTCTTGAAAATAGTCCTGTCCCATTGTGTCTTATGGAGCTCACTTAACACGCTCAGCCCATGTTGGAATAAAAAGGGCCATTAGAATATTATGTCCTGCAGGTGTAGGAAAAGGGTGTTGAGAAGGCTCTCACACCAGATGTCCCCTCAGCTCAAAGGGTAGAAAATCAGGTTCCATAGGGTCCAAGTCTCCTGCCACCCGATCGTAGATTCCTCTTGTATCCTCATATGTCTCCTCAGGCCAGCAGGGGTCACAGGGGCCCTGACAAGCAAAAGTGGAGTTAGAACCATAGAAAGATGCCCTATGGGTCATCATTACAGCTCTAGGAGGGATACACACTCCTACTCAACTTCCCAGAAAAAAAATGTTTTAGTTTCTAATTATGGGGGAAAAATCCAACATACACAAAGAGGAGAGCGATTATAATGAGCCTCCATCATGAACCTCCATGTACCCATCACCTAACTTCAACATTAGCAACCCTTAGTCGATCTTGATTTATCTATATCTCCATCTTTTCATCTCCTAACCTCACTAACTGGGTTATTTTTAAGCAAGTCTAAGATATCTCATGATTTCTGTCAGAAAAATAATTTAAATGTCAGAAATATGAAACTTTTAAAAGTGCATGATATAGAGAATTGGAGTGGAATGTGAGTCATGATTCTGTTAGCCTATAAATTTCTAAGTTTTCATCAAAATAGAAGACAAAAAAAGACCATGTAGAGTGGTTGTTACCGGAGATGTGCTTTCCCCTAGGATTGGGAGCAAATGGTGGTTTTAGCTCGGCAAACTTTAGAGCCGATTTGCCCATGGCCCAAATACAGCCTGCTGCTTGTTTTTGTACTGCCTGGGGCTAAGGATGATTTTACATATTTTAATTGATGGGAAAATATCAAAAGGAGAATATTTATGACATGTAAAAATTATATGAAGTTCAAATTTCAGTGTCCAAAAATAAAGTTTTACTGGAACTTAGCCACACTTGTTCATTTATGTATTGTCTGTGGCTGCTTTTATACTACAGAAGCAGAGCTGAGTAGTTTTGGAAAGGACAGCAAGCCCAAAGTTTTTACTATCTGGACCTTTACAGAAAAAGTGTGCCAATTGCCTCTGTGCTTTAGAGGGTACATATGGTTCAGCACCACGGACAGCATTTTAATGAACATGATTTCCACGCTGGTGAGAACAGTGCCCCATCTGGGACAAAGTTACAGAGGGAAATCCTTGGCCCAGAGGTGCCAGAGCATTAGCCAAGGCCACACGGAAAGTCAAGGGTTCTGTGCCACCTCCCTTACAGGAGGTGGGCGTAGTTGATAGTCAAAAGGGTCTGCTGTTCTTGCCTGCCCAGTCACCATCTTCACTTCTCTCTGGGCTCTCTGTTCCTCTCTCACTCAGTCCAGTGGGTGGCCCCTACTCTCTGATGCCACGGCTGGGTACCAGTCCAGACCTGTTCAATTAGCATAGTTTTTCCCCTGCCTTGGTGGTTCAGCAATAAGTATGTGACCAAAGCTAGACTAATAAAGTGTCAGCTCTGGGACTTTAGAGGTATTGGAAAAGAGACACTCTCTTTCTCTGAAGGTTACCAATCTAATAGGATACAAACCTGCATTTTCTGGGGACATCTCTAGGGAGGAAACTCTGGGTCCACCTGGGTGGGGCCTGAAGACTATTCTGTCCCTTGACTTTTCAATTAAGTGGGCCAAAAGTTTATTTCTCTATACCTCTCTGTTTAACCAGCATAGTGGAGAAGGCTAATTATCCAGTAGAATGCATAGCTTCCTTCTTCCATGGTAATAGAAGTATAGTGAAGCATATAGATGCCAAGCTGGACTATATTTCTCAGTCTCCTTCATAGTTAGGTGTGACCATGTGACTGTGTTCTCATCAGGGAATGAGTAGAGTGTACCATTTCTGGGCCTAGGCCATAATGCAGGGTTGTGCCTCCACCACACTCTCTTTTTCCCTCTCCCACCAGTTGAAACCCACGGTGAACTAGCCTATCTATGCAAACTTGAACAATGCACTAGAGGATGGCAGAGGAACACAATGGAAAGAACTTGAGTTCTGAAATAACCATCTGTAATAGGGTCACTCACCTCTGATTGCTATGTGAGAAGGAAATAGGATCGTAGCCAGGCCTTTGTGCTATGGCGTCTAGCTTACCCTAACTAACATAAACAGTAGGAGGTGGGTTTCTGGCTCTAGCCAGGAAAAACTTCTGCTGATACAAATCTCCTCACCATCGGTACTTCATCGTAGAGGGGTCCCCAGGCTCCAGGTGGGGCATACAGTCTTTCCATCTCAGCATACAGGTGTCCAGGAAAAGCCATATCCTCCTCTTCAAGATGTGTGAAACCTGGAGTTGGAGTGGAAGGAAGGGATGATCAGGGCACCTGTCCAGATGTCAGGGGTATCTATGAGCAGAGGGAGCTCTGATGTGGTCACGACTCACCTCCGGGATAAGACACCTCCTCCAGTGTTGGTGGCAGCTGGGGGCTGAAGTTCTTCATGGAGTGGTAATATGGTTCTACACCCGTTGTGCTAACCTGTCAACACCCCGCCCCCCCCCCCCGCAAAAAAAAAAAAAGATAAAATCTTTTCTATCCTCTGGCTCCATAGTTCCCAGAAAGGACAGTGATTAACCTGAAGTTAATGACAGAATTTTAGTCTGCCAGTTCCCTGTCAGCAGAGTTTCCGGGAGCACCCCCACTCACCGTGGAGCTTTGAGTGTCTCTGTCTCCAGTCCACTGGCTGTCCTCATACTCATTCTTGACTCGGTCCTCCTCCGACCTTCCAGGACAGAGGTAGGGAGGGCATCTTGGTGTTGACTCAGACACCTCTCATCCCCAAACCTCCTTCCTCAGAGCCTTTCTTACAGAAAAATATTCCCACTTACCCTGCTTCTGTCTTCTCTGTGATGCCTGAGGGAAGTAGGGAGAAAGGGATCAGAGACACCCCTTCTCTGACCAGACAGGCCCTAGGAGACTCAATATGGAGCAGCCCCAGGGCTCCCTGTCACCCCTGGGCCTCCATCCCCGCAGGGGAAGAATGGTCTCTCCTCACCTTTAGCAAGACGCCTCAGTCTCCGCTGCCAGAGGAATCCCCCAACACAGGAGATGTTAGAAAGCAGCAAAAGACCCCCAGCAGCAAACAGCACAGGCAGCAGGGGCAGCCCTGTGGGTTCTAGGGGAAGAAGGTACCCCTCAATGAACCCAAAAGAACTGGCTCTAGGCCCAGAGCAGCATTCTCTGAGAAAGCCCATTTCTGACTAAGCATAGCCCCTCTTCCTAGGTCAGGGAAGCAGATGGGCAGGGATTTCCAGGTCCACTCCTTCTTGCCACCTCAGGGCAGGTGGCTCCTTTCTCAAGTCAAGCCACTAACAGTGGGTCCTACCTGAGCCCTGTGGTGTAGACTCAGGTGGTAGCTCCAGCTGGGCATTCAAGACCTCTTCCCATGTATTCAGCCTTGCCCACCAACCACAGACCCTGGTATTGGACCCTCCAGCCACACAAACCACTAGAGCTGTTTCCAGAATCACTGAGGCAGAGCCAAACCCCTAAGCCTTGGAAGACTCCCAATGTCTGTCCTTAAATGTCCTTTCTGCTCAACTGATTTTCTTCTCAAATGACTTCCTCTTTTTTTTATTTTTAAGATTTTATTTATTTGACAGAGAGGTGAGAGAGCACAAGCAGGGTGAAGGGACAGAGGGAGAGGGAGAAGCAGACTCCCCACCGAGAAGAATGCCCAGTGCGGGGCTCAATCCCAGGACTCCAGTATTATGACCCCAGCTGAAGGCAGACGCCCAACAGACTGAGCCACCCAGGCACCCCAAATGACTTCCTCTTCACACAAACTTCCGTTCCAGGTAATATCGGAGTCCTTTGCTATATCTCTAAGGACAAGACTAAATCCCTCTAAGTAAGCATCTGCTCAGCATCTATCTCCCCATCTTCTGCTAACAGCACTCATTTTCCTTTGAGGAAATAGCCACTCCCTCACTCTTAGGCTGTATGTTCCCACAGATCTCCATGGAGGACATGTGGACCTCCCTGGCCGATAAGAGCACCCATCCCTCTTTCCACAGTGACCAGTTCAGACCCATCCAGCATTTGACCCAAGGTAGACTTTTGCCAGAACATTTAGGACACTCCTCTGCTGGCTGCTGAGAAGTGGAACAAAGCTGGAGGTATGTGGAGGGGGGCAGGTACTTCTTTGCCCTCTTGATGAAAGAACCTGAGAAGGAAGCCATCAGAGATGAAGGCAAAGTTGAGAGAGAGAAATAGGTCCTTCATGAAAATCATGAGCACCTATTGGAGTTTTCAACTTCACAAGACAAGCAATTCTTTTTACTGCCCACAACAGCTGAATTTCTGTCACTTGCAACCTTCTTCTCAGGTTTTGAAGGGGGATTGTTAGCAAAATGGTCATAATTCCCCCCCTGTAACTACACTCTTGAGTAGTCCCCTTCCACACTGACTCAGAGTTGAGACATGTCACTTGCTTCAGCCCATGAGACAATATCAAGTGTGACAGAATCAGAAGCTCGAAAGTGCTTGGCTGGTCCTGCTGCTCTTGGGACTCCTGTGACCACCTCTGTGTGAACAAGTCAAGGAGAGGGAGAGACATGTGGCCCAGTTATCTCCATTGTCCCAACCAAAAACCAGATTGTCAGATATGTGAGGAGGAGCCCATCCTAGATCAACCAGTCCCAGGAGGGTCTCCAGCTGCCTGTAGCCCAGACCAGAACTGTTCAGCCACTCAGAATCAATAGAAACAATGGTTGTTGCTATAAGTGCCCATGTTTGAAGTGGTTTATTTTGCATCAAAAGCCAACTGATATGGGGACACCTGGGTGGTGCAGTCAGTTAAGCATCTGACTCTTGGTTTCAGCTCAGGTGCTGATCTCAGGGTCGTGAGATCAAGCACCATGTGGGGCTCCATGAGGGCCCATGTCCAGGCCTGTCTCAGCCCCGTGTGGGGTTCTGCCTTAGGCCCCCACCTCCGGCTCCACTTTAGTGGGGAATCTGCTTAAGAGTCTCTGATTCTAGGGGTGCCTGGGTGGCTCAGATGGTTAAGCATCTGCCTTCGGCTCAGGTCATGATCCCAGGGTCCTGGGATCGAGTGCCGCATCGGGCTCCCTGCTAGGCGGGGAGCCTGCTTCTCCCTCTGCCTCTGCCTCTCTCTCTCTCTCTCTCTGACTCTCATGAATAAATAAATAAAACATTAAAAAAAAGAGTCTCTGATTCTCCCTCTCCCCCGCGCGCGCTGTCTCTAATATAAATAAATGAATCTTAAAAAAAAAAAAAGCCAACTGATACAGGCTCTGCACAGGGCATGGAATCAGCTAATTCTTTCAGAATTAAACTGAATTAGGCAGAGAGAAAATGTGTCACATCCAAGAAAGAGCAAGAGCTTAGGATGTGCATAGGGGCAGAGCTAAGTCTTAAGGGGCTGTGGCCACAAAACAGAGGTGGTGGGGTTGGAAACCAGAAGGCTCTATTCTCAGGGGAGAGAGGGATATTCAAGGGATTAAAAACTTACCTGCAGGCTGCTCTGTGGGCAGCTGGTAGTCAGGTTCTCCAGAAGGCTGGTCTAGACCTGGGGGGTGGATATAGAGGTTGTGAATTAACACCAAGAATCTGGGTAAGCCTTAAATATTTTTGCGGTTTCCTATTAAGCTTTTCAACCCATTTTGAGGAACTGATTTATGGCTTCTCAGGAGTATTTCAAATAGAGCTGCAAATTGCTGATAGTAATGGCAATACTATTAATAGCCATTCTAATGCCAGTAATAATAGTAATGATGATAATTATTATTGTTGTTGATGAGTGCTTTATGGTATGGAAGGTCCTTTTAACCCATATTATCAGTGTTGGAGGGTTAACCAAAAAAATGATGGGCGCTCAGAATGACTTAATAGAGGTATTAGTTCTAGAGCAAGCAAAGTGAGGTACAAAGTACTTTATGCTTTAGTACTTGGAAGACTAATGGGGGAAAGAAAGAGGAGGAATGGGAGAAGTTCCTTACTTCCATAGGGAAGAAGGCTGCTCTGTCAGGAAGGGAGAGACGGAGCTTTAATGGGACAAAGTAAATAGAAGTTGAGCAGGGGACATTTCTCTAAATCAGTATTTACATAGCACTTCCTTTATACAGATCCCTGTTCTAAGCACTTCGAGTAAATTAATTTAATCCTCACAAATGTCTGAGAGAGACCTTACTTTCAGTAACAGGCACAGAGATCTGAGATACCTTATTTTTAGACCCTGAGGCTCAAAAATGTTAAGTAACTTGCCCAAGGTCTCACGACTGGGAAGTGGCAGAGCTGGGACCTGAATCCAAGCTTGTCTAAATGAGGCTCTGTGTGATGAGCCGCTACACTGCCGTGCCTGCTAGAGTCCAGCATTCTCAGTAGTCATATGAAGGAATTTGTCCCTTTCATCAAAGTTGCTGAATTTATTGGCATCAAGTTGCCCATATTATTCCCTAACTTCCCCTTAATGTCTGTAGGGTTAGTAGTAATGTCTCCTGTCATTCCCGATATGGATGTAGTTGTGTCTTCTCTCTTTTTTGCCTTGATTCGCTTTATAAAGGTTATTGACCTTTTCAAAGCAGCAGCTTTTGGTTTCATTGATTTTTCTCTGTGGTTTTTCTGTTTTCTAGTTCATTGATTTTTGCTCTTTATTATTTCCTCCCTTCTGTTTACTTTGGGTTTAATTTGCTCTTCTTTTTCTAATTTCTTAAGATGTGGAAACTAAGCATCAATCTGAAGCCTTTTTTAAAATCTAAATGAGTACTTAATATTGTAAATATCCCGCTCACACTGCTTTAGCTGCACCCCACAATTTCCATGTTTTCTTTCCATTCAATACAAACGTTTTTCTAATTTCCCTTGTGTCATTAATCACATTCAGACAGAATAGTGGCTAAAAACTGGTTCCTGAAGTTCATCTGCCTGAGTTCCAGTCTCATCTCTACCTCCTTCTAGCTGTGTGAACTTCAACAGTTTGCTTAGCCTCTCTGGTCTTCAGTTTCTTCATCTATAAAAAGGTAATAATATCTACTTCACTATATCACCCCATAAATCCCCTGAGGAGCTCTGCAACCTGCTCAAGATTGTCCCTTCCCACCTGGGGTAGTGATAGGGATCTGGGACCCCTTGTGAGTTAGTCCGCTGTCCCCCAGGGCATTGCTGGCCAGCAGCCAGACTCTGTATCGTGTAGAGGGCTGCAGCCCAGTCAGTGTGAAGGTGGTGGCTTCAGGTGGTAGGACATCCACGTAGAAGAACCCTGGTGTCCCCAGTGCCTCATATCTGCATGAGAGGGAGGGCAGTCATTCAGGGAGGTGCCCCAGCCCTGTTGGCTGCCATCCCTTCCTGCCCTGACAGGGACCCACCTGATTTGGAACCTCTGTGGCAAACCCCCATCAAAGCCAGGTTTCCATTCCAACCCCACCGAATACGGAGTCATGCTCACAACCTTTAATCCTGATGGGGGATCCGGGCGACCTTTGAGGAAAAGGATGAGGGGAGTAGTCAGAGGATACAGAAGGGTTCTAGAAGATTCCTTCCAGGTTTTTCTAAGAATGATTTTAAATATATAGTTGATTCTCGTGAGTAGTGGTGGTTATGTCCTATAACATTGCTGTGAACACTGAATTACAGAACATCAAATCATTGCTTCTGGGGGAATGCAGTTAGATTCCTGTGAACCTCCTGTCACAACATTTTCATCAACCAATCAATACATGACCTTGTTTTTTCTGTTTCTGTTTCAAAACACCTTATTTAATGTATCTTATTGATTCATTAACATTGGGGTGCCTGGGTGGCTCAGTTGGTTAGGCGACTGCCTTCGGCTCAGGTCATGATCCTGGAGTCCCGGGATCGAGTCCCGCATCGGACTCCCTGCTCGGCAGGGAGTCTGCTTCTCCCTCTGACCCTCCTCTCTCTCATGTGCTTGCTCTCTCTCACTCTCTCTCTCTCAAATAAATAAATAAAATCTTAAAAAAAAAAAAGATTCATTAACATTGAACTCACAGCCAACAGTGTTATAATTTGTGTTTGAATGAAGCTTATCCAACAGAAGTGTTTTCTCCCTATCCTTAGGAACTCCAGACAGCACGTCAGCACTATGGCTAGGGGCCACTTTAAATAACAAAATCACTAACAAAAAGCACAAAAGTGCAAAAAATATGGGACTAAATAGGCTGCAAAGAGGACATTTCCTTATAGTATGAAAGCTGAAACAAGAAAGCATAGTGTCACCTTGTTCTACCCCAACTGAGAATGTGCTCATTGGGTGACTCAATTTTTTTACCTGCTCTGTACATGTTCCTGAATGACCAAGAAAGCAGCATGAGTATTGATTTCGAGGTTACAAATAAATTTTAGCAAGTAGGCAAATTTGCAAATAGAATTGGCAAATATGAGCATTGGCTGTGTATGACATATGTTCCTTGCTTGGATTTTTTGGTGCCTATGTTACATTCATTCCTTGTTTCTTCTGGTTGCAGAGCCCTGAGTATCCTTTGGAAAACCATTCATCCACATTCTCAGGCCAGGTGCTTCTGATGGAAATGACTCCACTCCTTGAGGAGAGATCTATGACCGAGCCAAGCCAACCAGGGTGTCGCCTTCCCTGACCACAAGTTTGGTTCAGAGGTGGGATGAGAGCTGAGTAGAGCCAATGAATCGTAAGTCTAGTACTTTCATACCACTGTTAGGAAGAGAAAAAATTCCATTTCCCCTGGAAAGTCTAACAGCCTCTATGAGGAGCCTTAGAATAAAGCCAACACAGAGAAAAGCAGACCTGAGAGTCAGAGAGTTCTTGATGACAGCTGAACCTGTCATCAGCAACTCCTGACTTTCTACTTTGCAATTACTTGGGCCAGTAATTCCCCCCCTTCTTTTCCTTGCTGTGGATTTCCCTGAAGATCCAGTCTCCATTAGGATTTTCAGGGCAGGCAGAAACTCCATCCCTGCTCATAAACACTTCTCAGGTTTTGGGAACACTGCCATTCTGGGCCAACCAGAGACTTGAGGATTGACCCAAGAGCATCCTCCCAACACCCTCACAGCCCACTCCCACCATACTGATGCTGACGAGTTGAATGTTGGTGTGATCTGAGCCAAGGGGGTTGGTGGCTGTGCATGTGAAGAGGGCGTAATCCTGGGCTGCAGACACGTTGGCAATGGTCAGGAGACTGCTGTGGACCCCACCCTGGTGGTATGTGTGCTCTGTGTACCTGGGGAGGAGGTGTGGCAGGAATTCAGGAAAGGTAACTGGGGTTGGGGGACCAAAGCTGGGACTAGAGTGCTGCCTGGCTAGGCCTTGACTCACCTGGGATCCTGGAGATCCAGAGGGACTCCATTTTTAGTCCAAGTGAACACGATGTTGGGGACACCTCGGGCACGACAGTGGAGGGTGGCAGAACTGGTGCTATCTCCAGCTGCAGCCACCTTAGTTAGGGGAGTGGGGTGCTCCACCTGGGGGGCAACTAAGAGGAGTTGTTGGTCAACATGAGGTATGTGGAAGGACATGAGAGATGTGAGTTTAGTGGCAGGCCTTAAAATCAGGAGTTTGGGTGTTACTCACATCTGACAACAAGTCGGACCAGTCCTCGGGCTGGAGGTGCCACTCCATTGTCCACAATGCACTGGTAAGCACCAGCCTGGGCCAGTTTGGCATGGTGAATTCGAAGACGCCCTGTGGCTCCCTTTGACATCTTTTCCATGTCATCCAGGCTCTGGTCCTCCTCCTCTTCTCCCTTGAGGCACAAGATACATGAGATGGCCCCCAAGTCTGGCCCCAGTCCCATTATCCCCCAAACTGGGTCTCTCCTGTAGCTTTATTCTCCCAGACACAGTCACCCTCCACAGATCTAACAAAGAAAAAATTCCCCCATCCATCTGTCCATTCCCCGAGTCATCCATCCATCTATCCATGCATCCAATCATTTATTCTTGGGCCCATCCATTCATCCACCAATCCAGAAAACTATTCACCCATCCATTTATCCAGTCATTCATGCTCAGAACGATCTATCTACCCATCCACCTATCTTTTTAACCATCCATCTCTGCATCAATTTATTCATTTATCTATCCATCTACCTCTCTTTCATCCATTTGTGCATTCACCCATTCATTCATCTTCCTTCTACCCATCCACCTATCCACCCTTCCATCTCTTCACCCATCTACCCCTTCTATTTACTCATACCTGCACATACCCATAAATACATGGAGCTGTTCATCAATTCATCCAACTACCTGTTCATCCATCTCTCCATCTCTCCATTGACCCATGCACTCATCCATCCATCCATCTATCCATCCATTCATCCATCATTCTTCCACAGACATCTTTCCACTAATGGTGTATTTATTCATCCATCTACCCTCTAATCTAATCAATTTATCTATTCATTTCTCTCATTCAACCATTTAGTCACTCATCTATTCATCATTTATCCATGTATTTACTTGTCTGTCCATCTGTTCTTTCATCCATTTATTCATCCATCCACCTACCTATCCATCCACCTGCCTGCCCACTCACTTGATTATGTATCCACTCATGCACCCATCCATCTTCATTCAGCAGTTAGTTAGCTCTTGGAGGATGTCCCAACAAATATGTAGTTATATAAGATCATATAGCTGTGATCCCTCCTCCCAAGGAGCTCACAGTCAAGAAACCACATCCCCCAGCCCCTACCTCCATTTACCAAAGGTCAGATCCTTACCAGCCTCTCCCAGTTGAACATCCCTGGAAGGATGGGATTGGCATCAACAGTGCAGACTATGTCCACAGAACCCCCAATATTCACCTCAGTTGGGTCCTGGAGAGCTCGGATAGTGGGAGCATCTGGGGGAAACAAGGGGTTGGGGAAGGCATTTGTGCCCATACAGATGATGATGGGAGAGGCCCCAGGTGGGAGAGGTGTCTTAGAGGTGCTCAGGAAAGTTACAGGTATGAACAGGTATGATACATTCTGCCCTTTATGCAGAGCACATGGAGTAAAGTTCTCAGGGTTAGTGAGGCATTCTCCACCTCTACTGTATTGTGCCTCTGTGGTGACAGGAATAGGCCTGGTGGACTTCCAGGATTGTATGGAAGTGGATCTTCCACAGTGGGCTTGGCTTCCTACTTTTTTTTTTTTTTTTTGAGAGAGAGAGAGAGAGCTCCTGTACACGTGCATGTGTGCAGAGGTAGGGGGAGAGAGAGAATCTTAAGCCGGCTCCACCCTGAGCACAGAGGAGCCAGGGCTCAATCTCAGGACCCTGAGATCATGATCTGAGCTGAAATCAAAAGTCAAGACGCTCCACCAACTGAGCCACCCAGGCGCCCCAAGGCTTCTTGATGAGAGTAACTCCCATGTAGGTGGCCCCCTGTCTGAGCAGATTCCACGTAGGGTCTCTCTAGTGGGCAGGGTTCCCAAAGTGGAAGTGACTCCATCACAGTGGAGTCTCCCAGAGTGGGAGGCTTTCAGGATGGGGGAACATCCCAGGGTGGGCGGAGCTTCCACAATAGGAGACTCCACAGTGGGCAAGATTCCCTGAGTGGGTGTGGTTACGGGGGGGCGGGGCTCCCAGAACTCCCTAATTTCCTAGGGTGATGATGGGGGCTCACAGTGTACATCCAGCCGTACTAGAGTTTCAGCGGTGCCCTCTGAGTTCTGGCAATGCAGCTGATAGAGGCCATCGTCAGCGCGGGTCACATTCCATAGCTGCAGGGCTCCACCAGACAGGATGCGATGCCGAGGGCCGCCAGCTGGGGGAGGTCAGGGTGAGGAGCTTGCCAGACCCTCGAGTCTGGGAGACCTGCACCCCTCTGTGACCACTCCACGCACCTGGGCTGAGGCGGTAGCCGCGGAAGGTCCAGTTGAAGGCCTCCGGGGCAGGGTTGGCAGATACAGACACTGGCAGCAGTGCCTCACCCTGCTCCACGGCGGTCACCACAAGCACCTGCTCCCCTAGGAACTCTGGAGGGTCTGTGGAAGGGGCGCCACCCGGAGTCAAGACTGTTGTTAAGGTTGGGGTCTGGGAAGGATTTGAGATCAGGTACTGGTATAAGGGTTAAAGTTGGAGTCATGACTAGATTTAAGGTTGTGGACAAGGTAACAAGTTCAGAGCTGAGCTTGGCAATTAGGTTCAGGATAGAGGTTAGGATCTAGTTTAGGAAAAGGGTAAAGGCCAGAGGCAGGTTAAAAGATGGAGAGAGGGTTCAGGAGGGTTCACAGTCAGGGGTTAGAATAGAGGGAGGATAGGAGTTGGTGTAGAGCCAGGGGTCAAGGATAAAGTTTCAAGCTTTAGAATGGATATAAAGGACAGTGTCAAGGTGAAGACCTAGATAGTATAGGGTCAGGAGGGAATCCCAGCGGGGTTCCACATACACAGCACATTGAGGCGGTAGAAGGCGCTCATGGTTTCCCGGAGCTCAGGGCTGTGGGCTCGGCAGGTCACTTGGTGGCCATGGTCTCGGGATGACATTCTCAGAAGGACGCTCCTGGCTGCTGCAGAGCCTTTGAATGGGGCACTACGGGGTGGTGTGGCCACGCTTTCCAGCCTGTGGCCCACGCAGGGGTGGTAGGGTCAGTTCAGGGCTAGCTCAGGGATGGAACCAGAGCCAGAGGGGTACTAGGTACAGGGCAGGACACCAGGGGTGGGGGTGGGGGTCTCAAATTGTAAGGGGCGTGACCAGAACCAGAGAGTGGAGGGGCCACTGGCACTCTCACCTCTCCCCCTCCTTGTCCCACGACAAGTTGACAGGAGGGTTGCTGCTAACGCTGATGCAAGTCAAGTTTAATGCATCCCCTGGGCGCAGAGCCGTCGCATTGGCCAGGATCGTCACGTTTGTTGGGGGAACTTCAAGAACGGGGCAGAAGAGCGAGGCTCAGAGCCTACTTCCGCTTTGCCTAGACCCCAGGCTCTGCCACACGCCTCCTGGCTCTCCATATCCACTGTCCCCCAGCCTGGCTCTGGCTTAGTTCCCCACCACCACCAAGCCCTGCCCCAGGCCCTGGCCGAGTGCGCCCTCACACTGCACCACAAGCTGCGTGGATGCGCTGAGCTGACCCGCCTTGCACGTGAACTTGGCCTGGTTGTCTGATGGACCCATGATCAGTACAAGCTCTCGGGAGAACGTGCTCCCTGACTTCTCCAGACTTCCCAGCTGCACCCGCCGCGGCTCCTGGGGTGGCCGCGGTTCCGTTACCATCCGGGAGTCCTGAGGGCAAAGACTGACTGGGGGGGACCGTGTAGCCCTGCCATTTCCCCCCCACCCCTGAAACAGCCCATTGGGTTGGCTGCCGCCAGCACAGATAAAACCTTCATGTGATGAGGAAAAAGGGTCCTCCTTACCCTGGCACCCAGCTAAGTTAGAGGAATGAGGACTGGAATCGAGCACTCCCACCCAGAGTCTCTCCCGCCTACCTGGGGCCGCAGAGCCCCACAGTTTTGCCGTGGGATCTGGCCTCCAGTCCCATGCCCCACCCCTCTGCCCCGCCTCCTCGGCTCTCTGGAGGCCAGCAATGGTTGGTGCCCCCTGCCGACCCTCAGCCCCACTCCTCAAAATCCATTCCAGCTACACTTAGCAAACAACACATGTCAGGAAAGTCCCATGGAATCCCCAAACCTTTCCCAGAATTTCTTCATTTTTTCCTATCCTTAGTTCTTTTTCTTAAAATTCCCACTTTCCCCAAAGATTTCCTTTGATCGTTCCCTTAATTCCATTGTCTTTCCACAGATTTCTGAATCCTCCCCCAATATTCTCTTATTACACTAGACTTTTACTAGAATCCTTTCTTTGCCCAAATTCTTGGCATTTTCCCAGAATTCCATCCAATTAAATTTCATTCCCATAATTCCTAGCCTTTCCCCCAGAATTTTCACTAGCCCCCCAACTCCCCAGGATTTTCTCAGAATTCTGTCGGAATTTCTTTTAATTTTAATGGAATTTCACTTTCTTACCTCCAAATCCTATGAATGCAATTTAATATTAATAGATTTTCAAATGTTCTGTGGAATAACTAGTCTCTCCCCCAAATTTCTAGCCTTTGCCCATCATTGTCCTTGCACGTGGAGTCTTTCCGTAAAATCCCTGTCATTTCATCTGAATCCCTAAGATTTCACCAGAATATCCTTTACTTTAAATGAAACTAATTGCCTTTTCTCTAGAATTCCCTGTCCTCATCTAGAATTCCTTTTTTTCCTAGAATTCTCACTGTTTTCCCAGAATTTTCCTAGGATTCCATTTCATCCTCATGGTATTTGTGTCTTTTCCAATTCCCTACCAAAACTCAAACTTTCCAGTATTTTTCAAGAAATTCACGTTCTTCCAACATTTCCCAAGACTCTGGAGGAGAGAAAGGGCTCCATCTCCCCCCATTTCTGGCCACCCCCATAAGCCCTTGTTTGGCACCAACCTTGAGCCAGGTAAGAGAGGGGTCTGGGTTGCCCCCAATGGCCAAACACAGGAGCCTCACTTGAGTCCCAGCCCGGAGCCGTTTTCCCTCTGGGGGGCCCTCTATCCACAACTTCTGGGCAGGATCTGTGAGGAAAGCCAGGAAGAGTGGCTTTTCTCTCTGGGCTGGGCCTGAGGGTGTGGGTGGGGAGTCTCAAAGGGATGGGACACCCCTGGGCAAAGGGTGGGGGCTCACATTTCACATTCAGCGTGAGTGACTTCTTGAAAGTCTCCTTGGCAAAGGCCTCACTGAAGGCCTCACACGTGAGAGTCAGACCATTGTCCTCTCGCCGGACCAGGAACGTCAGGTTGGACAAGGAGACGTGGCCACCATGCAGGCCCTGCCAAGGAGCAAGCTTTAGACTTGGCAATGAGAGCACTCCCATCCCCGGTACCCGATGTCTGGGTTCCCCCCAGACCCTAGCAGGGACGTGGAAAGCATCTCCACCCCCTCCTCTGTGAGGCCCAGGCCGCCAGGCCGGTCCTCTCCCAGATCCAGGAGTCATGCCCCCGGCTCCCTCCTCCCTCAGACCCAGGAGCCTGGCCACTGCCTCACATCCATGACCATCTCTTCTGTAGGCACCAGCTGCCGCCAACCCAGCCACCATCGTAACAGGACCCGTGGGCGACTGGACTTGGTGATGCAGGAGAGTGTAACGTTCTTGTTCTCGGACTGGGATGCAGATCCCAAGATGGTAATGGCACTGGGGGGAACTGCAGGGACGACAGACAGAGGAGAGACACGAAACTAGGCTGGATGCATCACAGACCGGCCCCGACAAAGGACTGGGGACAGATGACAAGGTCTTTGGCATCAGACAGGCATGATTTGGGGGCACAAACAGATGGTTCTCTGGGGCACGGACTGACAGATGGGCAGCTAGCATCAGGACTCACAGGTGACCTGCAGCGTGACCCCGCGTTCCTGGATCCCTGTAGATACGCTGTTGTGGGCCTCACAGCTGAGCCTCGCCCCATGGTCTTCTGGTCGCACAATCATCACTAGCGTGCTTCGGGCCACTGCCTCAGCATGCTCTGTGCCCCATGCTGTGGACATGGACTGGCCATTCTGGAGACAGAGCCAGAGCCAGAGCTGGGCCGGCTCAGGGCCAGCTCCCCTCCACCCGCCGCTTCCCCTTCCACCCCCATGCCGGGCTCTGCCCTCACCTTCAGCCACTGCAGTGTGGCTGGCGGATTCCCCCCTCGGGCCACACACAACAGCTCCAAGCTCTGTCCTGCCCGCACATGCCCCTCGTCCAGGCCTGGCCACTCAATGACAGGGGGTCCTGGGGGGACTGGGAAGCAGCAGTCGCTCAGTGGGCCTGGGGAGCCCATCCATTCTTTCCAGGCCCCACAACCTGCCTCTGAACCCCCGTGTTTCTCCTTGAGAACCTGAACCTTCCATAATCCCTGAACTCCCCCAGGACCCCCAATTCCTGCTTCCCATCTCCCATGCCCACATCTGACTCAGTTCCCCACTTACACAGAACATTCATGGTGACTGAGACCCGGATGGGAGTGTCCAAGGCTGGGCTGGACCCCTCACAGACCAGGAGCTGCCCATTATCTGAGCTCTGGGGTGTCACCCTGGGGTGGAAGTTGGGGTTCTAGAGTCAGAGTCATCATCTGAAATTTGGGGAGTCAGGGTGAAGAGGTGGGGATCCCAGGTTCCCACATCTGGTCTTCTAAGTCTCTCTGCTGATATCTTCTAGGATCTAGAGTTCCATGGAAGAGATCTGGGGGGAGGTCAGCAGTGAAAATTGGGATCCCAGAGGCCCACACCAGGCCAAAATCCTTGTACTTGAGACTCTGGAACTAGGGTTCCCATGAAGATGTTTTGGAGGGTCGGGGAGAAGAATTAGGTCCCAGATGTTCATGCCTGATTCTAGTCTCCATGCTTAGAGTTTTCACAGAGAAATTTGGAGGTCAGGCTGAGGGGAGGGCATCCCAAATTTCTTACCTGGCTGTGGCCTCTGTGGTGAAGAGTTTCTCCTGGGACCCCGCATTTACATTAGCAGAGATGTCAGAAATTGTTTGTCCACCTTGAGGCAACAAGAGGGCTAGAGGGATGCCAGGTTCCCCACAAGGCAGATCCTGGGGAGAATGGCCTGGAAATCCTCAGGGTGGACATGGTGCCCCCTCCCTCCTGTTCTGGAGGAAAAGCTCCAGCTCGGTTCCTCCACACATTCAGGCCTCCCTGAATCCTGGAGGTCATGGGCCTCACCCCTGCCCTTACCACCTCACTGGGTTGTGTCACCCACCACCATAACCCAGCTTCTTGCTTCTGTACCAAAGATGACACCCATATCTCCATCTGGAGCCTCAACCTTTTCCCTGAGTCCCAGACTGGCAGTCCTGCCATCACTTTGGTGCCTTTCCCTGGATGTTTCCTCCCATTCACAGGGTCTCACACTGGCTTCAACATCTCCCCAAGTCTGTTCCTGCATCCCCCTCACTCAGGAATGTCCTATTTTCTGGGACCTCTAGGAGGACACACCCCCTCCCCACTCCAGGGGCTCCCGCCAGTTCATCCACACTCACTCTGGAAGAAGGTGATGTCAGGTGCTGGCTTTGCATCCCCAGATACACAGCTGACCACATACTCTTGCCCAGCTACCCACGTGACTGTGCTCCCTGCTTCGGGGGTCAGCTGAAGCACCTTGGGGGGCACTGGTGAGAAAAGGTCTGGGGTGAGCTGCCACCACTGAGAAAAATATGAGGATTTGGGTTTGGCATCTCGTTGCTCATCAGATGTGCAATCCCGGGCCTGAGACTGGGGGCTTGGAATCCCGGGCCCTGGGGTAGGAGAGGGCTGGAAATCTGGACTCCTGTGTCCTGGGGGTCTCTCACCCATACCCAGGATGGAGAGGATCACTCTGGGAGACACAAGCTCAGGGCCTGTCTCTGAGCGGCCGACCTGGCACTCATACTCTGCATCGTCACTCAGGTCACACGCTTCAATATGCAGGTGGAATTCACCTGCAGGCGAGACCAGGGGTCCCAGGTCAGGACCCCAGGCAGCCCCTGCTCGTGGTTCAGCGTCTTAGGTCCCGATCCCTTACCTCTAGTAGGGTCCCCTTCCAGGCGGTACCTCGGGAAGCTGGAGATCCTAGGATCCGGGCCCAGGAGTAGCCCATCCTTGGCCCATTGGACCACACTGCCAGGGGCGCTGACCCCACACTGCAGCTCAGCAGTGGCCCCCTCCACCACCGTCAAGTTTTCAGGCAGAGCCCAGAAGCCTCGCAGGGCTGAGGCAGGGAGCGGCAACTGGGCCAGGCCTGGGGACACAGGGCTGTCAGCAGGAGAGGGCAGAGGGTCTGTCTGGAGAACATGAATGGGAAATGAGGGCCGCTTGGTGCTGGGTCACAAGGCCAGGATCCCACTCACCTGCTGTCAGCAGCCCCATGAAGAGCAGGGGAGCCCTGATGGGGGTCCTCAGAGCCATCCTGGGTCCTCTGCCCGTGACTCCCGCAGTGTCCACTGCCTGCCTCCTCTCTCTGTTTCTGTCTTTCGCTGGGTCCGTCTCCCTATGTCTCTGGCTTTTCTTATTGTCTCTCTTCGTCCATTTGTCTCCTTCTCTTTCTCTGTTTTCCTCTCTTCCCATGAGTCAGTCTCTGTCTCTCTCACCTTTCCTCCTCTTCAGTCTCACCCTTCTTCTTTCCTGCCACCCCCAACCCTGCTCTCTTCTCACTATTCACAGCCCCTCAGGGAGGACAGCTGCTCAGAGTCCAGCAGGCTCCAGGAGCCCAGGAGAGCAGTGAGGCTGATGTGGTCAGTGGCAGAGAACCAGTCCGATGCCGTCCTCACATTGCTGCCTCCCCCGGGTGCCCTCCTGAGTCTCCAGCTTCAGGCCTCTGCCCAGCAGGCTCCTCCCGGCCCAGCCAGAGCATGAAATCCCCTGTCAGCACATGCCAGGAACATTCCACGGTGCCTCCCCAGGCCCCATGACCCCAAGGGCCTGGCTTGGGCCGGGGATAAGGGGCAGCCGGTCAGACCCGGGTGGAGAGCTGGACCCAGCGTGGGGTTAGGACTCCCCAGCTCTTCCCTGCCGTGGCACGCGACCTTGGCAAGTCTCTGCCTTCCCAGAGTAGACATCTCCTCATTGCCATCAGGGGTCTCTGCTGGAGAGTGTGCAAGAGTGTGTTTGAGAGACTGCAAAAGTGCAGATATCTGTGTGCATATGTGTGTGTGAAGGCATGATCATGCGTGTGAGCATCGGGAAGGTGAGAGTGAAATGTGATCTGTCAAAGTATACGCAAGAGTATGAGTGTGTGAAAGAGTGTCTAAGGTATGTAAGTGTGCGGGGCTGTCCAAGTGGGTGGAGTGAAAGGCAGGTCCAAGACCACCTGCACTAAATGGCTACAGGAGTGAGCCCAGCTTGGGAACCCTGTGGCCATGTGAGTTCTAGTTCATGAAGCTTCCCTCTGTCTCTCTCTCTCTCCCACTCCCTCCCTCCATTAGGTGGTTACATCTCAGGCAACCTTTACCTATGTCACTGTTTATGCCTCTACATGTCTCTGCTTTTCTGCCTTTCTGTCTTTGTTCTCCTCTCTATCCCTCACTCCCCATGCTCTCTCTCACACACCAGACGACCAATAAGTATTTGTTCTCGGGATGCCTAGGTGGCTCAGTCGGTTAAGTGTCTGCCTTCAGCTCAGGTCATGATCCCAGGGTCCTGGGGTCGAGTTCCGCGTTGGGGTCCTTGCTTGGCAGGGAGTCTGCTTCTCCCTCTGCTGCTCCCCCTGCTTGTGTGCTTGCTCTCTCTCTCACTGACAAATAAATAAAAATCTTTTAAAAATATTTGTTCTCGGTCAGCATTTGACTACACCTCTTTCTTTTGTTTCTCCATCGCTGAGCCCTCCCGGTTGTCACACCTTTGAATTTTATAACCCTATGCTGCTTGGCCTGCCCTCCCCACCCCAGCGTGCACACATATGAAACATGGTATAAGCTGCTTCTGCCTGCTTATCTCCCGCAGGAATTGGAACTGCCCGTTTCCTCCCCCCGCCCCCACCCCCACTCCCTTCTCTGGTCCTCCTCCAGGAATAAGATGAGGCATCTGGCCTGAACCCCCACAGCTCCATCCTTGATATTCCCTCTAGTCTTTCTTCTTCCCTCCCATTACTGACTCCCCACCCTCCCGCACATTCTCTCTCCCAACTGCCCCCCACACCTCCTGGGGAATGGTCTGGATGCAGAGCTGGAGGTTCTGTCAATAGGGGCTCTCACCAGATGGTGTCCCTCAGGGCCGGGGTGTAGAGCTGTCAGTTGCTGGGGCCTTTAATTAGGACAAACCTTCCACCCTCCACCTTGGCTGTTTTCCTTCTCTGGATGCTCCTGGGACCTCCCACTCTCCATTTTTCCATGCCTGCGGCCCAAGAGAGCCAGGAAGGGGCAGCAAAGTCAGGTGTCTGGAAAAACAGCCTTACTAGGTGACTTCCTCCCCAAGACTCAGGAGTCCTGGCTCCAAGCTCATCCTCTGTCAAAATCCAGGCGCTGGATTCCCCAAACAGAAGCCGGCTCAGGCCCCCAGACCTAGAAGTCTGGGTCCCGAGGACCCACCGCTCTCAGACTCAGGAGTCCAGGCCTGCTGCTGCTTCTCCCCAAGGACCCAGGAGTTCAGGCCTCCAACCCTTCCCCCCACCACACACAGGACTTAGGGCAGATGTTCACTGTCTGTGATTTACAAATCCTCCTGGGCCTGTGTGGGGGTGGGAGAGATTGGTGGTTAATCCACTGACTCTTAAGACTTAAAACCAGATTTTCTGACCCCCTTTCATCCTCTCCCAACTGCACCATGCTGCAGGCAGGGGACCTAGTTGAGTCCCCAACTCCCCCAGAAACTCGCAGTTGAGGCCATTAGCTTCTCAGTCAACAGAGGTCTGAATACCCGGTCTCAGATCCGGAGTCCAAGCCTCTGCCATTTGGAGACGCAAGAATCTGAGCTCAGGAACAACAGAGAACCTGAGTGTGGACCCCCAGTCCCTGCAGGCTCAGGAACGTCAGACCGCGAGTCCCAGGCCCCCAGGCCCCACTCGGTGGGCTCAGGGTCCCGCCCACCTGCCCCGCCAGCTGCGCAGCGCACCGGCCCGCCTGCAGCGTGGGAACGCCCCAGCTGGGCGGCATGCAGCCGTCAGGACAAGCTGCGCGGTTCCCAGCCTCCCCGCCTGGTCCAGCTCGGGCACCGCCGCCGCCCAGCCGTCGCCCAGCAACCACAGTCGCGTGGGATGAGGGGCTGAGCCGGGACTGCGGGGTCTCGGGAAAGGAGGGGCTGGGGCCTGGATTCCTGGATCCTTGGACGTGCTATGGTTTGCAGCGGTCACAAGGCAGGCAGAGGGATATTTTGAGCTGGGGTTTTGAGGCGAGAAGAACTGAATCCCCTCCTCTTCTCAGGGGTCCCAGTTGCCCCCAGGCACCCGGTGTCCTCTTCCTGACCCGCAGGCCCAGGGGAGCCCTGGGCCCCGCCTCTCCAAGCCGCGGAAACTAGCGAAGCCCCAGGGGCTGCCATTTATAGCTCCGTTTCCACTCGGCGAGTTCCCTCCAGGACCCAGGCTGAGCAAGTTTCTTCCACTCTCTCCCCCGCCATGCCCCCAACAAGCCTGGCAGGGTGCAGGTGTCCAACCCAGCCGGTTCGCCCTCCTTCGACCCAGGTGTTCCGGCTCCCAGACCCCAACTTGGCTGGGGCGCCCGCCCGCGGGAGACCCCGCCCTGCGGTGCCCCCATTCATCCACGTCTCGGCCGCGGGAGTTACTCAATGGGAAGGGGCGGGTCTCCCAGGGGGCGGGGCGAGTGGGATCAGGCCCTCCCCGGTCTCTCAGCGCCCGAGGGCGCGGAAACCGCTTGTGTTTCTGAGTGTTGGAGCCTGCGGCTGAGCAGACTTGGGGAACTCCAGGCCAGAAACGGGGTGGCTCCTAGCCTGGGGCGAAGACCCGGGCGCGAAAGGAGCCCCGACCAGGGTGGTGAGAGGTGTGCCGTTGAGGACGGGCTTAGCAAGGAAGCCAGTGCAACAGCAAGTCTACGGGATCTTGGGGGACACACATTCAGAATGCTGGTTCCCACCCTCCTCGTCCTCCTCTTCTGCCTCCGAGGGAATGCAGGTACCTCGAGGGGTGGGGAAATTGGGGGGAGGACTGTTTGCCAGCTGCCTCTTTATTGGGGTAGATGGAACGGGGCGGGGGGAGGTGTGTGCTCAGACTCCTAAGTCTGCAGGGGGAGAACTCTGGGAGGCTGGACTCCTGGGTCCTGAATGAAGGAGCTAAGCTCATTGCTAAACTCAACCCTGCTCCTCTCCCCCGATCCTCCTAGGTCTATCGCCCCATTTCCTGCAACAACCAGATGACCTTGTGGCACTGCTGGGGGATGAGGCCCGGCTGCCCTGTGCCCTGGGTGAATACTGGGGGCTGGTTCAGTGGACTAAGGATGGACTGGCTCTAGGGGGTGAAAGGGACCTGCCAGGTGAGACTGTTCTCTCTACTCAGGAGAGGTTGGCTTCAGGTGGCTTGGTCTGTCATCTGAAGTTTCTATTTTGATGTTTTCAAATTTGGGAAATTCTTGGGCTCAGATGAACATCTGGGAGAACTAAAGTCTTAGCTTCTTCTTTGGGGAGTAGGGGATTTTTATTTGCATTATAAAATATTACATAAATGCAGAAACGCACCTAAAACATAAAGGGAAGATTTGCCAAATAGTTCTAAAGTAGACACTCATGTAACTACTACTCACGCCCATTGTCAGCTCCCCAGAAGCCTTTGCTACTCCATTCTCCTATCATAGCCCTCTGCTCACCCCAGAGGTAGTATCTAATCTGACTTCTATGGCAATTGTTCTCTTGCTTTTTTCTGACTTTTTCACCCACCCCCAGTTTGCCATGACTCTGGATTGGGAGGGGGTTAGAATCTCTCTGGCCCAGCACCCACTTTTGGGTGTCTTTCTGGTGTGGGATGTCTGGGGAGGGAGGCTGGGGCCAGGAACTCAGAACCATGGTGTGACCGCCTCTTCCTTAACTGCAGGGTGGTCCCGGTACTGGATATCAGGGAATGCAGCCAGTGGCCAGCACGATCTTTACATTAGGCCCGTGGAGCTAGAGGATCAAGCTTCATATGAATGTCAGGCTACACAAGCAGGCCTCCGCTCTCGACCAGCCCAACTGCTTGTGTTGGGTGAGGACCCAGCTCACTTGTCCCTGGGAAGCCCAGGGGACAGCCAGTGCTAGCTGAGTATCAGAGTCCAGGGAGCCCAGAGGGGTGGTCAGTTAGGGCTGGGAAAATTGGGGTTTTGAGGGCGCCTGGGTGGCTCAGATGGTTAGTGTCTGCCTTCGGCTCAGGTCATGATCCCAGGGTCCTGGGATTGAGTCCCGCATCGGGCTCCCTGCTAGGCGGGGAGCCTGCTTCTCCCTCTGCCTCTGCCTCTCTGTCTCTCTGACTCTCATGAATAAATAAACATTAAAAAAAAAAAAAAAGATTGGGGTTTTGGGGCCCAGGATCCAGCTCTGACCCCCAATCCACCCCACAGTGCCCCCAAAAGCCCCCCAGGTGCTGGGTGGCCCCTTTGTGTCTCTGGTGGCTGGTGTTCCTGCGAATCTGACCTGTCGGAGCCGTGGGGATGCCCGCCCCACCCCTGAGCTGCTGTGGTTCCGAGATGGGATCCGGCTGGATGGGACCACCTTCCACCAGGTCAGGTCCAAATCCCTCTGCAGCCCTTGCCCATTCAGGGAAATTTGGGGCCCACTCAGATCATAGGTTTATCCAGAGAGAGGGGCATGGGAGGGAAGAGGTTCAAATATTGGGACCCTTGGTATGTGATTAAGGGTAAGGACTCCAGAGCCAGACTACCTAGGTTCAAATCCTGGCTCAGCCACTTGCTAGTTGATTGGTCTTAAGTTCAAGTAGCTTAACCCCTCTGTCCCTCAGTTTCCTTATCTGTACAATAGGGACAATTATAGTCACTTCATAGGGTAATTGTGAAGATTAAATAAAGTGCTTAGAAGTGACACGTAGTAAACACTATATAAGGGGTAGATGAAATCAGTATTATTATTCATAACCTCCAGACCCTGCTGAAGGAAGGAACCACTGGATCAGTGGAGAGCATCTTATCCTTGACTCCTTCCAGTCATGATGATGGAGCCACCTTGGTCTGTCGGGCCCGGAGCCAGGCCCTGCCGTCGGGGAAGGATACAGCTATCACACTGAGCTTGCAGTGTGAGTGCAGTTAGTGGCCCTTAAGCCAGCTGCCCTGGGGAAAAGAGGGACCTGGGGCTAGACTCCAGGGTATGAAGAAGGAGGAGGTTGTGGACCTGGGGCCCTGGGGGAATTGGGAACTGGAGTCCTGGGCTCCTAGCTCAAAAGGAAGAGGAGCCTGGGGACCCAGCCCGTGAGAGGCTGGGCATTGGACTCAGGTGCTCCGTGGAGGTGTTCCAGGTCCTTGCCCACCGCTGACCATGACCCACCTCCACAGACCCCCCTGTGGTGACTCTGTCTGCAGAACCACAGACTGTGCTGGAGGGAGAGAAGGTCACTTTTCTGTGCCAGGCCACAGCACAACCTCCTGTCACTGGCTATAGGTGAGGACGAAGGTCACCTCTCCTCAGCCCAGAGCACGGGTTTGGGGAGGACTGCGATTGGGACATGAGTGGCTGTGCCTGGGGAGCAGGGACAACACGAACAGCCCCACTCCCTCCGCAGGTGGGCAAAGGGAGGCTCCCCGGTGCTCGGGGCCCGCGGGCCAATGTTGGAGGTCGTGGCAGACTCCTCATTCCTGACTGAGCCGGTGTCCTGCGAGGTCAGCAACGCTGTGGGTAGCGCCAACCGCAGCACCGCGCTGGACGTGCAGTGTGAGCCGGGGTGGGGCCAAAGTGGGGCCGACGGTAAAGGGCCAGGGGCTAGAGTGGGGCGTGGCTGCGACGGGCCTCGAGAGGAGGTGGAGCCGGAATAGGATGTAGGCGGGGATTGGCTGTGCTGCGTCAGCGCCAAGGAGGAGCAGGGGCGGGGCGCGGGCGGGGCGCGGGCGGGGCCCGGGCGTGTGAGCCGGGAGCGTGAGCCGAGTGGCTGTGGACTGGCCGCCTATACTCGGGCCCTTGGGGCTGTCGTTTCTGAGTGGCTGATCCCGGGTCAGAAGTTGCATCCCTCCCCGGCCATGCGACGCCTCCTCTCTCCCCTCCAGTCGGGCCAATTCTGCAGGCAAGGCCAGAGCCCATGTCAGTAGACGTAGGGGAAGACGCTTCCTTCAGCTGTGCCTGGCGCGGGAACCCGCTCCCACGGGTAACTTGGACCCGCAGCGGGGACACGCAGGTGAGACACGATCTGGGGCCTGTGGCCGCGGCTGGCGGTGGACGGGGCTTCCCCTCAAGGTCCTGCCCCTGACGCCCCTACCCCATCCCAGGTGCTGAGCTCCGGGCCCACGCTGCGTCTTCCGTCGGTGGGGCCCGAGGATGCAGGCGACTACGTGTGCAGAGCTGAGCCGGGGCTCTCAGGCCTGGGGGGCGGCGCTGCGGAGGCTAGGTTGACTGTGAACGGTGAGAAAGTGGCGCTTCCTAGAAGACCGGGCAGAGCCTGGGACCGGGAGCGGGCAGAGCGGGCGAGCTCTAAACGGGAGTGGGCGTGGCCTTGAAAAGGCGAGCTTGGTAGACCGCGGGGCCTGGGGTGGGAGCCGGGCCTAATGAAGGCGAGCCTCTGAGAGGTTCTGAGTTTGTTGAGGGGCGTGGCCTGCTTGACTGGCGTTAGTGGAGGGGGCCAAGACCTGGCCCCGGCTTATTGAGAATTGGAGTTTCCGAGGGCAGGGCCTCTATTTGACTGGTCCACAATCTCCAAACCAGCTCCCCCAGTTGTGACCGCCCTGCATTCTGCGCCCGCCTTCTTGAGGGGCCCCGCCCGCCTCCAGTGTCTAGTCTTCGCATCCCCAGCCCCAGATGCCGTGGTAAGGAAATGTCCCCGCTGTCATGACCGGCCCAGCCGTGATCCCTGACCTCCCAGCTGGACCTCCAAAACTGCTATGACCGACACCCTGCCCGCCCTTCCCTCCCCTTCCAATGTCCTTAATGACTTCCCTTTTTTTGTGCCCCCAGGTCTGGTCTTGGGATGGGGGCTTTCTCGCAGCGGGGTCTCAGGGCCGGTTCTTGGTGGAGACGTTCCCAGCCCCAGAGGGCCGCCAGGAACAGGGCCCAGCCCTGATCTCTGTGCTACACATCTCGGGGACCCAGGAATCCGACTTTAGCCGGGGTTTCAACTGCAGTGCCAGGAACCGGTTGGGTGAGGGAGGCACCCAGGTCAGCCTGGGCCGTCGAGGTGAGATCCTGGGCCTAAAGACTCCAAATCTGAGGATCCCAAACCCCCAAAACGCCACAATCTCTAAACCGAGGACCTCCAAATGCAGACAGCCTCGAACCTTGAAAGCCTCAAAACTACAAGTCCTTTGAATCCTGACACCCCCAAATTAAATTCCTTTAAGTATGGAATTCTAAACCCCTCACACTTAGATACCTCAAAGAAGGGAAGCTCCAAATATGGGGAATTGCAAAGTTAAAAAATGCTCTAAATCTAGGACTCCCTAAAGCCAGAGAGTTTAAATTTGTGGAACCCCAAACTCAAGAGCCCTTAAACCTGAAGGACCCCGAGCTAGGGACTACAAACTTGGGTATCCCCAAACTTGGTGACCTTTTGAACCCAGAGACTCCACCCCAAGCAAGCCCTGAGTCCCTGTTCCCCAGTTCCTCCGGGACCTCACACTTAGCCTCCTCAGAACACCCCCTCTCCTCACCACAGACTTGCTGCCCACTGTGCGGATTGCGGCTGGAGTGGCCGCTGCAGCCATGACTCTTCTTATGGTCATCGTTGGGGTGACCCTCTGCTGCTGGCGCCATGGCAAGGGTCAGTGACTGAGCCCCACCTCGGTACCTTCCCCCAGCCCTCCCCTCCCCACCGGCTGACCTGGCCTTGACCTGGCCCCAGTCCCACCTCTCTGGTCTTGGCTCACCTTCGGGCCCTGATTCCTCCCTCAAGCCCTATGTCCATCTTCTCAGGATCCCGCTCCTTAGCCACCCAGGTTCTCGTTTCCCAGCCTCCTGACCCAACCCAGTCCTCCTTCTTCCTGCTCGTTGGTCTCCACAAACTGTGACCCTGCCCCATCCCTTATCTCTGCTGCCCCACTGTCCCTGGCCTCAGCCTCTTTCTCCAAGCAAAAGAACCTGGTGCGAATCCCAGGCAGCAGAGATGGCTCCAGTTCTCGGGGCCCCGAGGAGGAGACAGGCAGCGGCGAGGACCGGGTAGGATGCCAGGGTGCCCAGACCCAACTCTACCTCTAGAACAATTAGTAACCCAGTCCCAAATGTTCTCCCAGTCCCAGCTGGGCCCCCCAACTCAAAGAGGGTCTGAGTCCCAACAAATGACCCCAGGCTCAAAGGTCCCCCAAGTCCAAATATGCCCCTGACCCAGTTATTCCCTAGACAGATATGTCCCCAGGGCCCTTTGTCTTGAGTCCAGACCCCAGCTCCAGGTGCTCTTGGTCCCTCCTGCCCTGCCTCCACTGTCCAACTGAGGGTTGTCAGGGTCTGGCACTGGGCCAGGAGGATCCTCTGAACACTCCCTCTCACTAAGCACCCTACCCCAGGGCCCCATTGTGCACACGGACCACAGTGACCTCGTTCTGGATGAGGAGGGGGCTCTGGAGACCAAGGTGAGTGTTGGGAAGGGAGGGGTTCCCTTCACTGAGTCTCCAGCTCTCTCCCTGCTTGGTCCCCCTCCTTTTTCACTCTGTTGACCCCAGACCTGGGACTTGGCCCCCTTCACCCTTTCTTCCTGCCTCCTGGCCACTTCACTCACCACTGATTATGCCCACAAATCTGTCCAGCCTTGGCTTCCCCCTTGAGCTTTCCCATCACAGTCCCACCTCAGGCCTCCTGGATGCCTCTGCCAGGGCCCTTCTACCTACCAGGTCCCACACTGGCCTCACATTTCCCCAAACCTGCCCCTCCTTTGGAGTCCCCTCTTTTGAGCTCCACTGATCTCAGTCCCCAATCCAGAGCCCTTCTGTGTCTCCTCTGTATGTAGCACATGCCACTCTATTGGCCTAAAACACCGCTTTCCTTCCCATACCTACCTAATTCTGTCCTTCATTCCTCTGGTGTCGGCTCAAACATTTCTTGTTCTAGAAAGCCCATGCTTCCCTCCTCACAGCCCTGGTCATACTGTGTTCTGCCTGTCACAACTGGGACCACTGTGTCCTGGCTTCCTGTCCCCATCCTGAAACCCTGCTTCTGCTTCCCCATCGAGCCTTATCACTCTGCCTGTCCTTTCCCCATCACTATGCTGACCCCTCTGGACTCTGGGGATTTGCCATGTCCTCTTTGGCCTGGGATCTCCATGAAGGCAGGGGACCCCAGTCTCTCCCCATCATAGTCACCTCCAGCAACAGCATAAAGCATGACACAGAATCAAAGCCTTGGGGCTGGTGGGCAGATGAATGAATGTCTTGGTCTCAATGTCTCTGTTCCCCGCTGCATCTCCTTCCACACGACCAGGCCTTAGCAGGCCTATATCCTTCTGTTGCTGCCTTTCTCTGCCCATCTCCTTCTGTCTGTCTCTTGTCACTGTTTTTCTGTCCCACTTTGTCTTCCTATCAGTCTATATGTCTATCTCTGTCTCTGGGTCTCAGCTTGCTCCTATTTCTAAGTCATGCTTTAAGTGTGTCTTTCCATTAGGGATCCTCACCTCCCCCCCCCCCCCCCCCCGGCTTATATCCTTATATAACTTAACAAATCCCATTTGTCCCCTCAGGATCCAACCAATGGTTACTACAAGGTCCGAGGAGTCAGTGTGAGCCTGAGTCTTGGTGAAGGCCCTGGAGGAGGCCTCTTCCTGCCGCCCCCCTCCCCCCTTGGACCTCCAGGGACCCCTACCTTCTATGACTTCAACCCACACCTAGGCATGGTCCCCCCCTGCAGACTGTATAGAGCTCGGGCAGGTTATCTCACCACACCCCACCCTCGAGCTTTTACCAGCTACAGCAAACCTACATCCACTGGACCCCCAGATCTGGCCCCCAGGACTCCACCCTTCCCATATGCTGCCTTCCCCATACCCAGCCACCCGCGTCTCCAGACTCATGTATGACACCTCTCCAAATGAAGAGTCCTGGAATCTTCGACGCCATAATGGATTGTGCTGATTTCTGAGGAATCAGAACAAGTTGGTGACCTTCCTCCTCCAAAACTGAACATTGATGGGAGAGAGAGATCATTACAGTTATCTGGATCACTGGTGTACAGTGAGGTCAGCCAAAGGGGTTGCCCCAAGTGGGAGCAAGATGGCCATTTGACCAATTATTCCCCTGTGTAAAAGGGATTCAAGATGGCAGATGGGCTCTTTGTTGAGGGATGGGGACAGGGGGTGATAGGAGTTAGGGGCAGGGATGGAAGTTATTTCCAGACATTGAAAGAAGAGATTTCAAAATGATCACCTGTACTAAGAAGACAGGCAACATAGGACAGATTTATAGGGAAGCCAGACCAGGTCCTGTCCTGGTTCTCCCTGAGGGGCACTTTTCTTGGCCAATGGAAGTACAGCCAGATGGCTGTTCACTCTCTGGGAACCCAAGATGGCCACTATCCTGATTCCTTCCAACTTCCTTCGAGGCCCTGGAAGAATTGAATCCAAGGAGTGAGGATAGGGTGAGAAATGTCATGAGGAGAGGGGAGTAGAGTGGGGAGGGTGGGGGTGGGGATCTGGAGATGAGAATATTTATGTTTAATAATAAAAAAAAAAGTTGAGAAGTGAATGTGTCTTGGGCATTCTCCTAGCATTATCACCCTCCACAAGGAAGGGGTCCATTAAATCTGCCCCAAGTTCCTTCCTCTACCCTAGGCAATGAAGTGGCTCTGGAACAAAACCATGAGCCACCTCCCAGCCCTTTGCTACCCATTTAGCACTCCAGGCTCTTTTGATATACATCTACACAAACATGCATGCACAGATGCACATGCATGACAGGGCTACTCCAGTTGGCTTGGGGAAGACAGAATTCTGGTTATTTGAGGAGACAAAGCAGTGAGCCCTGAAGAGGAGGGGAGGGAGAAGCTAGAGGGGCTAGAGAGAATAGAAGTGCTGTGGTCCTTAAAGCGAGGATGGGTTGAGTCCTGTGGTGCTGGGCACCTGACTCAGGTCATCCTTAAAGAAAGGGCCTGGAGGCTTTGGTTTATGAATCCTTGAGATAGGAATTAAAGGTCCAGACACCTGGGATCCTTGGAAAGCAGAGCGGAAGGCCAAGACTCCTGAGTCTTAGGGAGAAAGGGCAGGGGCTTGGTCTCTGGTCCTGAAAATGAAGGTGCCTGCAGCCCGGACTCCTGAATCTGAGGGAGAAGGGGACTGGGTCTCAGCAGCTGTGTCCTTGATTAGGGAAATTTCGGGGGCCTGTATTCCTGGGACCTCAAGAGAGGAATTTGCCGAGGGGAGAGGTCTCCAATGCCGGCATGCCTGGAAGAGAAGACTGATTTGTGAGTGTATGGGTGGGAGGGAAGAGAAAGCTGGGGGTGAGGGTCCTGAGGAAGGGCTCAACACGGCGGAGCCTATGACCCAGACTCCTGGCTAGGCCCTCGCACGGGGTGGGACTCCCGGAACCTCTAGGAGGCGGGGGCCCGGCGCTGGCTCCCCCCCGGGGGTTCCCGAGCCGCTCCAGTCTGCGCAGAGCTGCCACGCTATTGTCCTGGCTAGGAAGGCGGGGCCGGCGTGGGGCGGGGCTGGCGGCGCCGGCGCAGCCCGGGGGCGGCGGGAGGAGGAGGCGGCGGCGGCCTTGGCGCTGGGAGCTCCTGTCACCGCTGGGGCCGGGCCGGGCGGGAGTGCAGGGGACGTGAGGGAGCGAGGGCCGGGACATGGGGCCCACCAGCCCCGCCGCTCGCGGTCCGGGCCGCCACCGGGGCCCGCCGCCGCTGCCGCTGTTGCTGCCGCTGTTGCTGCTCCTTCTGCGCGCGCAGCTCGCCGTCGGGAGCCTGGCCGGTGGGAGCCCCGGCGCGGCCGAGGTGAGGCCCGGCCGGGTCCTGGGGGATGGGGGAAGGGGCGGGACCGGGCCTTGGGTCGGGATGCGGACACGTCCAGGGCAGAAAGCGCAGTCTTTCTAGCTAAGTGGCCGGCCCCCATACGCCCCTAACGGCACTAGGCATTCATGAACCCAGGAGTTCTGGTCCCAGCTCCCCCATCTTCTGTCCTCCCAGCCGCCTCCCGCCCCTAGCTTAGGAACTGACTGTTCCAGAGCCCCTGGTCCCAAAAGTCTAGCCCCCTCAGACCCTCTTGACCTAGGTGACTCAGCCCCAACCCCTTCCCACCTGAACATGGGACCCACCAGACAGTAAGACACCTGAATCCAAGAATGTTGGCCCCTTGCATCCTCTGGACCCATTTGAGGGCCCCCGCAGCCTCCCAGAACCCAGGAGTCTAGGTCTTCAGTCACCGACCCCCGACCCAGGATGCAGCTCTCCAGCCCTCAAAGGATTGATGTCCAGGCCTGCAGGGCCCTGAAGCCAGGCCTTGTCGTCTTTGCACTGGAGAATGGGACCCTGAGCTAGGGATGAGGGAGGAGGGGCCAGAACGCCTGGGTTCTGGCCTCCTCCCCCGCGACTCAGTTTTAACCCCTTCGGGCTCCAGTGCGGCTGCGCCGGGGTGGGGGCGGAGCCTGTCTCCACGGCAACAAGGCAGCGAGACTCCCGGGGGACCCGGGTCGCCATAGCAACGGGAGAGCTGGGGCGCCCCCGCCCTGTGGGAGCTGTTTCCCGGGGAACAGAACCTCTTACGAGGCGGGTGCGCGATGCTTTGTGGAGGGGGCTGGTGCTGGGGGTCTGAACCTCTGGGTCCTAAGGAGCAAAGGTCCGGGGGACCCACGTGCCAGCGTCCCGGGGCCCTCGCTGACCCCTCCGACCCGACCCTCAGGCCCCGGGGTCGGCCCAGGTTGCTGGACTATGCGGGCACCTAACCCTTCACCGGGACCTGCGCACCGGCCGCTGGGAACCAGACCCGCAGCGCTCGCGACGCTGTCTCCGGGACCCGCAACGCGTGCTGGAATACTGCAGACAGGTGGGCGGGACCTACTGGGAGGCGCGTGGTTAGCGGGAAAGTTCCGAGACTGGGCCGCGACGCCCAAAAGAAGCTGGTGGTACAAAAGGCATGGTCCAGGGAGAATGAGGGATCTAAGTAGGCGGGGGAAGCTGGGGGGCGTGGCCAAGAAAGAGGCGAATTTAGGATAGGGCAGGACCTGTTTTTGAGAAACTAGGTCAAGAAAAGAGAACTGTGCAAAGAGGGCCAGCTAAGGACGGTAGCCAGTGAGGAGACAGAGTTTAGCAATCTGTGGTGGGCTCCTTAAAGAGTAGGGTATCGTGGGCGTGGCCAGGGGAGAGGCGGGGCTAAGAAAAAAGACCTTTTGGACCGGCAAGATAGGAAAAGGGCTGGAGCCCAATGAGAGTAGAAAGCTAGGAGGCATGGCTACGAAAAGGCAGTTCTAATACAAAAAGAAGGGATGCTTCCTGAGAAGCCAAACCGAGGAAGAGGTGAGGCTTAAAGGAGGGCCAGACCTATTGGGGAAGGGGACAGAGGTGACCCGGAGAGAGGCGGGTTTACGGGATTAAGTTTCTGGGTGGTTGGCGGGGCTTCTGAGGGAGAGCTACTGGGGTCGTGGCCAGGGGGCCTGCTGGCTTAGATATGTAAGACCGATTCTACGGAGAAGCAGAGGCCAGGGAGATCATTAGAGCCTTGAAAAGGGACATGGCTGGTGGAGAAGCACGGCTGGCAGGGGCGAGGCTGTGAGTTGATCGCCCCTACCCGGTGCCCCCAGATATACCCGGAGCTGCAGATTGCGCGTGTGGAACAGGCGACACAGGCCATCCCCATGGAGCGCTGGTGTGGGGGTGCCCGGAGTGGCCGCTGTGCCCACCCCCACCACCAGGTTGTGCCTTTCCGCTGCCTGCGTGAGTCACAGGCTGGGGGCGGGGGGAATTAGAAGTGGGGGGTCTCCCAGGGGTGAGATTCTGGGCCCTGGGCTCAGGTTCACATTAGGGATCTGGATGTATGGTGCCAGAGTGGGGCAGAGAAACCTCTGAGGATAAAATGCCTGGATTCTGAGGAGGGCGGAGCTAGTGTCTGGGGGAAGGTCTCACTCTGGTGCCCCCATTCCTCAGCAGGTGAATTCGTGAGCGAGGCCCTGCTGGTGCCTGAAGGCTGCCGGTTCTTGCATCAGGAGCGCATGGACCAGTGCGAGAGTTCAACCTGGAGGCATCAGGAGGCACAGGAGGTCAGAACCCTGGCCCATCCATCCTCACCCCCCAGAACCCAGGAGTCCAGTCCCCTAACACCCCGTCCCCTCGTTCAGGGCCTGTCTGTCTGGGCCTGAGTCTGGGCCTCAGCCCCCTTTTCCCACTGGGACAGAATCAGGAATCCAGGCTCCAGCCCCATCAACCCCCAAGACCTAGGCATCCAGGCTCCCCTCTACCCTCTCCTAACTCACAATCCTGGCACCTGGGCCTACTCTTTCCACAGGCCTGCAGCTCCCAGGGCCTCATCCTGCATGGCTCGGGCATGCTTTTGCCCTGTGGCACAGATCGGTTCCGAGGTGTGGAGTATGTGTGCTGCCCCCCTCCAGTGACCCCCGATCCATCTGGGACAGCAGTTGGGTGAGTGGGAGGGAACCCTCCATGCCCATCCCAAGTCTCCTGAGGCAGGAAATGGGAAGCCTGGGGGCACGGGTTAGATTCTCATTGCCTTGAGTCTTCTGTTCCCTCAGTGACCCCTCCACCCGGTCCTGGCCCCTAGGGGGCAGAGTAGAGGGGCGTGAGGATGAGGAAGAAGAGGAATCCTTCCTACAGCCAGTAGACGATTACTTCGTGGAGCCCCCACGGGCTGAAGAGGAAGAAGAGGAGGAAAGAATTCTACCATCAAGCTCCCACAGCCCTGCAGGGGTCAGCAAAGGTGAGACGGTCTCTGGACCCTTAGTTCTCTCTACCCTGGAGGGAGGATGATTTGAGGGAGCCTTGGTATAGAGGCATCTTTAGGAGGGACGTGTTGGGGAGAGACCCAGCTGGGGGGAATGGAAGGGATGGGAGTAACTTGGGATAAAGAAGAGGTGGAAGGGCTGTCCTGTGAAGAATGCAAAGGGTGAGGGTGTTTTGGGGGTACCTGGAGGTGGAGGAGCCATCTGGTTGTTCCTAATGGTTATTTGGGGAAAGCCTGAAGGATGGTGTAATGGATTCCTAAGCTTTGCAAGAACAGGCCCGGCTCAGAGCTAGATCTCTCATGATGCCCCACAGCAGCTATGGTTATGTGGACACATCGTGGCCTCCAGTGTGCTCTAGGAGATGTAGTTCTCCAGGAAGGGAAGGTGACCTGGAGATGGGCTTCACGCTGATTCCCTGATTCCTGGCCTTGTTACAGTGACCACCACCCCAAGGCCCACAGATGGTGTGGATGTGTACTTCGGCATGCCTGGAGAAATCAGCGAGCATGAGGGGTTCCTGCGGGCCAAGATGGACCTGGAGGAACGTAGGATGCGCCAGATTAATGAGGTGATGATCCTGGGAGCCCCAGGATTTCCCACAACACAGAACTCCCTAAATCAACACAGAATTTCCTCAGGCGCACATTGAGGCTGCCTCCAAAGACTCCCCAAGCCCCCCAAAACCCCTAGCCCTCAACACCACCTCTAAGATGATCAGGGATTCTTGACCCACCTAGAATCCCACTGAGATGCCACCAAGATTCTATGGAAACTCTGGTACATTGTATTCTTCTACTTTAAATTCCTTCGGAGCCTTAACCTCTCATGAACCCAAGAGCCAGTGGGACCTAAGGAATCTGGAGCCTCCAAAGTCTTGAAGAGGGTTTGGGGGACTCACTGGGTAGAGCAGGGTAGATTCCATGATCCTGAAGCTCCCCTTGACCCTAGGTGATGCGTGAATGGGCCATGGCAGACAACCAGTCCAAGAACCTGCCGAAGGCCGACAGACAGGCCCTGAACGAGGTAGGACACCCTCCAGCGGGTCTTACTCATGGAATCCACTACCTGGAACACACCTGGTCTCAGCCTGGTTCAGGCCTCGCTCAGTTCTACCCCTTCCGAGTTATCTTGGTCTCTCCCGGCCCCACCCCTCCATTTGGCCCCACATCTCTAGGCCTAGGTCTGACCTGACATTTCTCTCCTCCTCAGACTGGCCATGTTTTGCCTCGTCTTAACCTGACCCTTGCCTCTGAGGGCCGGCTCTGTGGTCCTCTCCCCAGCTAAGCGCCTGCAGGTGCAGCCAGGGCCTCTGAGGCCCTGTCCCCTGAGTCTGGTCCCACCCCTCTAATCTCACTTTTACTCAGTCCCTCCTCAGTAGGGCCAGCCCCATGACTCACCAGTCACCTCTAGGCCTTGCTCAGGTTAGCCCCATTCCCTGACCCTCACTCAGCTCCTCTACGTCCTATTCCAGCACCGACCATCTCCAGTTGGCCCCGCCCAGGCCTAGAGCCTTCCCTGGCCTATAATACTTGGAAAGTTATTTCTCCTGATTGCGAGCCAGCTCAGTTCCTAGATTGGCGCCACCCAGTACAGTTTCCCCCTTCAGATCGGCTCCCAGTTGGCCTGGTCCTGCCTGCACTCTGCCTGGCCCTGTAGCCCAGCTTCCAGTCAAGTGTCCTGTGATCTAGTCCCACCCTAGGGTTGATTCTACCCATGCCTGGACCCATGGCACCACCCCCTCCACCACCTGGCCCTAGAGCCCCGTCTTTCCAGACTGCCTTTGGCCCGGACTCTCACCCATCTTCACCTTTGCGGGCCCTGTGCTCCCCTCCCTCACCAGCACTTCCAGTCCATTCTGCAGACCCTGGAGGAGCAGGTGTCTGGTGAGCGACAGCGCCTGGTGGAGACCCACGCCACCCGAGTCATCGCCCTTATCAACGACCAGCGCCGGGCTGCCCTGGAAGGTTTCCTGGAGGCACTGCAGGGGGACCCGCCTCAGGTGTGGGAGCTGTGGGGGCAGAGGGCAAAGGGTGCAAAGATCTGGGGCAGGCCCGGCAGCCTTTGTCCCTTCCACAGGCCGAGCGCATCCTGCCGGCCCTGCGGCGTTACCTGCGCGCCGAGCAGAAGGAGCAAAGGCACGCACTGAGGCATTACCAGCATGTGGCCGCTGTGGACCCCGAGAAGGCCCAGCAGATGCGTTTCCAGGTGCTCAGGCCCCGTCCTCCCTCCGACCCCAGTGTCTGGGACCCCATCCCTCAGACACTCTTCCCGTCCCTTGGACCCCCTTCCTGTCCCTGGCAGTCCCCCACCCCTGTGCCTTGGGACCCTTTCCAGCCCCTTGGATCCCCACTCCCTGACCCTGGAATGCTGCCCTCACCCCCACACCCCTCGCCCCCACCCCTGTGCCTCTGACCCCCTTCTTGTCCCTTGGTTTCCTACGTCCTTTCCCAGAATCCCACTCCTGGGCCTTGCACCCTGTTCCTGTCCTTCCACTCTCCTTTCTCCCTCAACCCACTTGTTCACCGTGCAGCCCTTGTTCTGTGCCCTCACATCCCCATTCCTATTTCCTGGGTGTTCTCTTCCTGTCCCAAACTTGCCCTTGAACCACATCATTTCCATAGGACCCTCTAATCCCACTCCCTTCTGTGTAACCCCTGAAACTTCACTTTCTATTCCTCAGACCCTACTTTCTGCTTCTCCTACTCTCTCACATCCACTTCCTGTCTTCTATGCCATATTCCTTGTATCCTGTACTTACATTGTCTCTGGCGCACTTTTCCTAGTGGACTACTCCTTTCCCTTCTGCCTTACTTCCTTTTCTAAGCCCCTCACTTCCTGTCTGCTGTACATCTTTTCCTTTTCTTTTTATTCTGCTTCTCCTCCTCCAGTTTTCTTCCTCCTGTGGCCCAATTCCTGGACTTTGGACCCTACTTCCTGTCCATAGTATATGTTACTTTTCCTTGGACCCTGTTGACCTTCCTGCTTCACCCTGCCTCAGTTTCCCCATCTTTCCCTACTGCCCCTTTCATCCTTCATGCTCACTCCCACACAGGTGCAGACCCACCTTCAAGTCATTGAAGAAAGGATGAATCAGAGCCTGGGGCTGCTTGACCAGAACCCCCGCCTGGCTCAGGAGCTGCGGCCCCAGATCCGTGAGTGCCTGTGACCCCTGGTTCCCATTCTAGGGCTTCTTAAGGCAGGCGCCCACCTTCTATTGGTTGAAATAAGTGACAAACCCAGTCCAGATTCAAAGGAAGAGCCCCCCACGAGAGAACAAACACCAGAAAGTGTGACCTACCGCAGCCCTCAGATCTGCTGTGACTTCCTACTGGATATCCCATACCTGACCCTGCTCTTTAAAGAAGCCATTCTCTTGAGACTTCAGCCTCCATTCTCCTTGCCAGGGGTGTCTCCATCTAGCTCCCCACGTTCCCAGATCACACCTGTGGCTATGCCCAATCACTCTATTGCTAGGGTGCTGTTTATTCCCCCAGTTTTGTTTTGAGGCATCCCTGTGCTCATGATCTTGACCCCCTTTCTGCATGTTCCCCTCAGAGGAGCTCCTCCACTCTGAGCACCTGGGTCCCAATGAGTTGGAAGCCCCCGCCCCAGGGGGCAGCAGTGAGGACAAGAGTGGGCTGCAGCCTCTGGATTCCAAGGATGGTGAGTTATCCCCAATATAGATAACCCCAGACTTTGGGGGACAGGTACCCAACCTCCACTCTAATCCCCTAAAGTCTGGGGGTATCTGAGCCACCACAGTAAGTGGGAGACGATAGGAACGGATGTCTAAGGTTGTGGAGGCCTCCGTAGGATCCTTGATCCTCCGGCGTTGGCCCCTGGGAGGGTGTGTCTCCACCCTTTCCTCGATGATGCCCTCCTTTCTTCACTGTTCCGCCTGTCTTGCCTCCTCTGGCTGCCAGCAGACACTCCCATGGCCCTTCCCAAAGGTGAGTATCTCCCAGAATAGACCCCAGCCACCAAATCCCGCTAGTCCCTGAGCCCAGAATGGGAAAGGGTCCATACATTGGGAACTCCAGACCTGCTGGGGTAGAGTCCGGTGCGCCTTCTGACCGCCTCCTCAGGCAGGGGTAGCACCATTCTCGACTCTCAGGAATAAGATAGGACTTGGGGTTAGGGTCTGCAGAACAAGATGCTGCATCCTCTGGGAAAGAGAAGATGTCCCCCCTGGAGCAGTATGAGCGAAAGGTAAGTCAGACCTGTGGGTGCCTGAGGGTGGATGGGAGAGGGGTCCTGGACTCCAGGGTCTGAAGGAGGAGGGTGTTAGGGGTTTGGATTCCTTGGCCTGAGGGAAGAAGGGATTGAGGACATGGACTTTGGGGTCCTAGGGAAGAAGAAGGCTGGGGGATGCCCTCTTGGGGCCCAGACTCCTGAGTCCCTTACACCTGCTGCTTCCCCAGGTGAATGTGTCTGTTCCAAGGGGTTTTCCTTTCCACTCTTCGGAGATTCAGAGAGATGAGCTGGTAAGAGGAGGACTGTTCTGGGTACCTAGGGGGAGAGGTCAGAAGTCAGTGGCTAGGCTATGTGACTCCCAAAGCCACACAGGGCCTTGGTGAGCCTCAAAGATGGTCCCTGCCCCATGTCCTCTCCACGCAGGCACCAGCAGGGACAGGTGTGTCCCGAGAGGCCGTGTCTGGTCTGCTGATCATGGGAGCAGGTGGGGGCTCCCTGATCGTCCTCTCCCTGCTGCTCTTGCGCAGGAAGAAGCCCTATGGGGCTATCAGCCATGGAGTGGTGGAGGTGAGAGACACAGACACATGGGATGGGGGAGGCATTCCAGAGCCTGGACGCAGAGGAACTCTGAGATCTGCGGTCAGGTCCCTATGCCCCTCTGCTCCTGCCGGCCCTCCTGCAGGTGGACCCTATGCTGACCCTGGAGGAGCAACAGCTTCGGGAACTGCAGCGTCATGGCTATGAGAACCCCACCTACCGCTTCCTGGAGGAACGACCCTGAACCAGCCCCCTTCACCTCCTTTGGCTGAGCCCAGACCTTCCCTCTTCCTGGAGTCCCAGAACCCCAACTCCCAGCCCGGGGAGGGGGTCTCAAAAATGTTCATTTCACACTCTTTGTGAGGGGGCTGGAAATTCTTATTTCCCCTTTCGAATTCCAAATTCCATTCCCAAGAAATCCCCAGGTATTCCCAGCTACCTCCCTGCTTGGGACTTCCTCACCTTAATTTATTTTGTTAAGTTAATTTATTGTTCCTTAAGGTGACCACTAGCTTGGTCCCAGTGTCTGTTGTTCCCTAGAAGTCACCCTCCCATGTGCTCTCCACTAACAACCCAATAAAATCCTTTTCCCCACCATGCCATCCTGCGTCTCTGTGGGGGAATCAGGGTGTAATCACAGCTCTGGACGCTGGTGTGGATCCCTGCCCAGGCCTCCTTCACCTCTTCAAACAGTATGATCTGAGGGGAGCCTGTAGGAAGGGCTGGGGTTGGCGTGCAGGGGGCGGGGCCCAAAGGCTGGCTAGGCTCTCCCGCCCACTCAGGAGCTTTCCGTGGTGCTGAACGCTTTGTTACTTCCAGACCTCTATTTGCTGAATCCCAGAACAGACTCTGAGGAAGCTGTGTTCTGGCAGTTTCTCCTGCCTTCTATTCACCCTCACACCCAATCACACACAGCGTCCACCCCCAACCTGCGACCCCAAGGAGGGACTGAGAATCTTGAACCCCTCTTCCCATTCACAAGTTTTCATCCCTTCTTTGGGAGGCAATAGGAATCCCCCCTGAGGCATGGAAATTCCAGTTACGTGTCCCAGAGAGGGGAATGTGATGTCTGCAAATGCCTATTGGAACTTAAACCTTCATACACCCCAGCTTGTGACGTTGGGGTTAATCCTCTGCATATGCTGTTCCCTGCCCCAAGAGGGTTGTTATGGAGATTAAAAGGGTTAGTATTTGTGGAGATGTTAGAACTGTGCCTGTTACTTCACAAGTATTTGTTAAATAAATTTTAAAACAGTATGGCAGCAGGGGGACCTGGGTGGCTCAGTCAGTTAAGCATTTGTCTTCGGCTCGAGTCTTGATCCCGGGGTCCTGGGAACAAGCCCCGCATCAGGCTCCCTGTTCAGCGGGGAAGTCTGCCTCTCCCTCTCCATCTACCTCTCTCCCCCGCTCATGCTCTCTCTCTCAAATAAATAAAATCTAAAAACAAACAAACAAAAACAGTATGGCAGCAAATACTCATAAAGCACTCACTCTATGCCAGGCACTGCTCCCAGAGCTTTTTACAGAGTGACACACTTAATTACTTCTATCCCATGAAGCAAGTACTATGACTATTCCTGTTTATAGGTTAAGAAATGGAGATAAGAAGTTACATCACATGCCCTTGGTCACCACCTAGGAATGGCCAGAGTTAGGGATTCAACCCGGGCAACCTGGGTCCAGCATCCATACTCTTATTATTTTGCTAACCTGCTGTCTAGTAATTCGAGGCTGTCCCATATGCTGTTCAGGGTGTGCACTGCAAAATTCCTAGTGATAGAAAGTGATAGCATTCATTTTCTAGACACTGTAGATTTGCATTTTTACCACAACTTCCCAGCAGGTGGCAGTAATGTGTCACACTCTAAGGTCAGCTTAGTACACAATTTTCTGACAGATGGCTTAGGGAGGAAGCACCTAGAATTAGATTTTCTCCCAAAGAGCCTATGAGCTCAGAGTGTCTCATCATAATATATACATGTAAATACAAGTCATGTATATTAAATATAGACGTGGTAGACACTGGGAGGAAGATGTTTACATGATGCAAGTTGGATACAATCATTGGAGAACCCAATTTCCAACATCATTCTGATACTGGTTATACCTTTAGTTGTATTGTACTGTACCTAGCAGAAATCTATGACTAGGGGGAAATGCTGCCTTTGAGTTTTCACAGTCAAGGGTGATCAACAGGCTAACAATGAGTAAGGAGCTCCAAGCTGGTGGAACAGGAAGTGAAAGGCCATTTTGCTCACTATGCTCAGTGTGTGATTCCTTAATAATGTTTACATATTGATGGCAATACTTGGGGTAATTAATTTTAAAACATTTATTACTGAAATTCCAGCAGGGGATTGCCGTTGTTCATTTGATGCTCTTGTGCCACTAAACTGCTCTTCTTTTCCCATTGAAAACAATTTATTAATTTGTCTTTTAGTAATAGTTTTTAAAAAGACATTTTATCATTCTGTCATTTTAATATGTGTGTGCATGTGTTTGTTGATACATGATGGGATATAAATCTTATATGTCAGTCGACTCTAAGATGCCATCAATGATAAGAAATATCCCTATGGGGGCGCCCGGGTGGCTCAGTCTTTTGAGCATCCAACTCTTGGTTTTGGCTCCGGACTGATCATGAGTACTGGGATTGAGCTCCACGTTGGGCTCCAAGCTCAGCACGGAGTCTGCTCGTCCCTCTCCCTCCCCCTCTGCCCTACCCCCCACTCACACACTCTCTCTCTAAGATGATAGATGATAGAGAGATGATAGATGATAGATAGATAGATAAAATACCTTTATGTACCACAAAGGAAAAAATACAGAAATTAAACTATGCCACACAATGACTGTAAGAGCAATTCCAGTTAAGTTCTTAGAATCTATGGAGTAATATTCCCATGAATTCTTCATGGGTCACCTGCCACCATGTGCATACACAGAAGAGCAATGTGTGCTGGTACAGGGCTGCTCATGTGGAAGACTAACACAGGAAGCTCCTGAAACTCCACCTCCCAATATTCAAGCCCTGGTGTAGTGCCCCCTCCCCAAATTCTGGGCTTGGCCATGTGAATAACTTTGACCAGTGTGATGTCAACAAGCATGATGCAAGCTAGGACTTGTTCTCTTAGAACACTTCCTCTTGGGGCGCCTGGGTGGCTCAGATGGTTGGGCACCTGCCTTCGGCTCGGGTATGGATCTCAGGAGGTGGGACAGGACACAGAAAAGGGAAAGCAGTCAGGAAAGGGTATGTCATCAAGCCAGAGCTAGCGTGGGGAACAGGAGCGTAATTCTGTTGGGGAGCTCTGGGAGCCTGTGTAGAACACACACTTCCACATTATCCTCATAGAGAGGTGGGGGATCTGGAGTCTTTCTGTACCATCTCCTTTCAGTCTCTGCTTTGAGGGCTGTTAGATAGGAAGTGGCATAAACTCATTGGCAGTTAAGGCTACCAGGCTCATACCCAGGGTAGAGTGGGCACCAGTGGTCTCGCGGGTCCCCAGGCCCATGGGAACACTGCCTGCCACAGGCAGGCAGACCACCAGGTGCTGACAGGGTAAAGGTGACACGATGCAGACTTGGCACCTCCAGTCTGCTACACACCCCACCCCACACAGTCATCCGAACATGCCTCCTCAGCCAAGCACCACGGCCGCTCCCCTGCACCAACACCCCCAGAGACTGAGACAATGACAGTGCAGTCCAAACTGAGTTTAATAAGAAGTTTCAGATAGGGGAGGGATTCACTGGAAATGCGGAGATCTGAGTTCTGAATTAGAAAGCATAGGACCTAGGGGACTCCAATCTAGGAGAGTCCTTCCTATGTCTCAGGGGTAAGGACCTGAATGGTGTGGGTCCTGCGGAGGTTTGGGGGGTCATCTTAGGAGCTCTACTGGATGACACTAGGAGCTATTCTGGGGGTACCCCAAGTACTGTGTAGGGAAATCCCATCTGGGGTTCTAGGTGAGTTGAACTAGAGTTGAGTAGGGAAGGGGTCCCAAAAGATCCCAATGGAGAAAGGGTTAGGGGTCTAGGGTGTTTCACAGAAACAATCAAGGGGCCTCGATTTCACAGAAATCATCAAGAGGGCTCCTTGTGGGTGGGGGAGGGGTATTACGCCACCCCAAATATTGGGGATTGTTTACCCCCAGCAGCCATGTTGGGGTTTTAATGTAAGACCCCGATGGCAGGACATTCCACATACATTATCATGGATTTGCAACATTAGCATACGCTGGCTGTCCCACAGGACGGTGGGGACTGGAAAATCAGTCCAGGTTCTGGGTTTGAGTCCTAAGAGGACAAGCCTGGGGGTGCCACACGGCTCCTCTTCAATAGCTGCCGGAGCTGCAGACAAGACAGGGGAAGAGAAGTTAAGGAGGCTGGAAAGAGAGGTCAGGGCCACAAACCCTGTGAAGTTGGAGGGGAAGGTGGAGAAGCAGCGTAGGATCAATTGGGTTTGCAGGTCAGAGGTTCAGAGTCAAGATCTGGGGTTAGGGATGATGGTTCACACACTGAGAAAAGGTTCAGGAGCCAGAAGGGATGAAGGGGGAAGGTGTTGCTGGTTGGGGATTCCCACTTTGGGGTTAACATTGAGCACTAGGAGTCGAACGGTAGAGGCAAGGGGTCAGAGGTCACATTTAGGGGTCAGAAGTCCCACTTTGAGAGGTCAGAACTCAGGGCTGGGGCAGGGGCTTGGAGGCCATACTTGGGAATCCAAGGTCACACCTTGAGGTCAGGATTCAGGGTTAGAAGTAGAGGTCAGGGTTGAAGTAGAGGTCAGGAGGAGTCACCAATACCAGGTCAAAAATAAAACACTGGGGTCAGAGGTCACATTTTCAAGTCAGGTTTGGATAGGGATCAAGGTCACCTTCTGAGATTAAAAGTCACCCTCTAAAGTCATAAATGGGTAGGGTCAGGGGTTCACCCCGTTAGGTCAAAGGCCACTCTGCAGTCAGGGTGGGCTCCATGCTCACCCCCTCAGGGCCCGGCCCAGGCCGCAGCAGGTGGACGGGCTGCTCATTCTCCAGGTTTCGCAGTGTTGGATCTGCCCCAGCTGCCAGCAGGCGCCGCACGATAGCCTCCTGGGGGGGCCCAGGGGGCAGGGCGGCCGCCATGTGGAGGGCTGTGTTCCCATGGGCCTGGGGACAGTGAAGGGAAGACTGCTAAGGATTTGGACTCAGCTGGCCTGGGCCATCAACGCTTCAGAGTCTGCCACAGCCAAGTCCCACACTCCCGCCTTCACAGCCACATCCATGTGCCCCTACTCACATCCCAGAATCCCCTCTACAATCACATTCCACACACCCCTCGGTCTATGTCCTATACATTCCTACAATCTACAGCCACATCCTATACGGTCCCCACCTTTGTTCCCTACATTGTCCCTGCCATAGCCACAGCCCACAGGCCTCCCAACATCCCCCTGCCCTTCTCCATCACATCTCACACACTCGTACATTCTAACCTAGGCCCCCACCTTCATGTTGACAAAGGCCCGCAAGTCTCCCTGGGGCAGCTCAAGGAGCAGCTGAACCAGGGTAGGATTGGCGGCCTGCACAGCCAGATGCAGAACTGTCTTATTGCTCTTGATCTCCTGTAGAGAAAGAAACGGCGGAGGTCAGGCCAGTCCTCACACCCAGAGCCCCTCCCACAAAACCCAAGAGCCTTTAGACACCTTGTCTCTCCTTTGCAAGCACCCAGGGGTGCCTTACACAGTTATCTATGTTGTGCACTATACAAGAGTACCACCTTTAAGGGGGAGCCATTCACATCATACACATCACAGGACTGTATGTTTATTTTGACAATTTTCTAGCCCGAGTGTCTTTGAGAAAAACATTCTTATCTAATCCTCCAAAAGAGTTCTGGGCTAGCAGCTGCCCTGGCCACCCGACATTCTATTAAGCACAGTAAAATGTATCCACATCCCACATGGACTGTACTTTATCTGTAAGGAGGGGACTTGAGCAGCATTAATCAGGGGACTCACTAAGCCCAGATGCGCTTCCATACTGAGTTGTTCTCTTCATATTTTGGAGCAAATAAAAAGACATTTTCCACAATAAAGCTTTATTATGTGCCTTTCAAGAGTTTGGAATGATAATGGACATTAAAAATATGATGTGCTTATACAAGGCAAAACAACCTAGTTGGCTCACCAGATAAATAATAAAGAGGAGACAAGGAGATAGAGCAGGAAGCTCTAGATTAAGAACGACTTTAAAAGTCTTATAATGGCAACATGTGGGCTTTATTTGGATCCGAGGTTTTTTTAATGAAAAAACAATATATATCGCTTTAGAGTCAATCAGAAATTTGAACACAGCCAGGATATTTGATATCATGAGATTAATTTTTTTTTAAGGTGAAATGATGGTATTAAGGTTAAAAGAGTTCTTAACTTTAAAGACACAAATTTTTGTGGATAAAAATACATGCTTGGGTTTGCTTTAAAATACTATAGGAAGGTCGAGGAATGGATGGGGCAGGACTGGGTACAAGTTGCTGATTATTGATGTTGGGGACAGGGAGGTCACTATACTATTTTCTGTATTTTATCTGTGTTCAAAATTCTTTAACTAAAAAACGAAACAAAACAATAAGTGGATGCTTAATTCTCTCAGCCAGCCCGTGAAGGAGCTACCACCAGAGGGAGGAGGAGAACATAACCGTGAAGGTGTGGGGTCTGGCATGAGGCCACCTTATTCTAATCCCCTATCTGACTCTTACAAGCTGTAAGATTTTGATTCCTGTGCCTCAGTTTCTCTATCCATAAAGCAGGAAAAGTAATAACAGTGCACATGTCAAAAGGGGTTGGTGAGGATTCGATTAGCTAATCTGTGACACTCAGTGCTTGATGAATGGTAAGTGCTTGATAAATATAAGCTAAGATCAGTAATCTTATCCTCTGGGGCACAGAAAAATGAAGCCACGTACTCAAGTTCACATGGCTGGCAAGGGGCAAAATCAGCGTTTGTTGGAGCCCTGGACATCCAGGTGACCCATCCCACACACCCTTCTAGGGGCCGGCTGCCCACTGCTCCACTCACCTGGCTGGTGTGATCAGCACCCATGTGCAGCAACATCTGGACACAAGCCAGCCTGTCTCGGGCCTGGGTGCTCAGCACCCGGGGACATAGGTCAGGTGGGTGCATAGCAACGTTGAGGGCCAGGATGGCTGTGTGGAGAGGGGTGAGGCCTGCAGGATGGAGACGGTGAGGGCTCTGCATCCAGAGTGCTCACCCCACCCCAGCCCCACCTGCCATACCCACCCTGCCCGCCACCCAACTTACCCTCGAAGTCTCTGGCTTCTAGGTCAACCTGAACCCCCGAGTTAATCACAGCCTGAGGAGGACAAGGCACAGTGCTGGATTAGAGTCTCCCCAGGCCTCCTAGCCCTGGAAGCCAGGATCTGAGGAACCAGTCCATCCCATTACCCCACCGGCCAGCTGGCCGTACCGAGAGGACGCCTGGAAGCCCATAGGTAGCAGCCACATGCAAGACAGAACGTCCCTGATGATCAGTGGCATTGGGCTCTGCTCCGAGGTTCAGTAGATCCTCCACAATCAGGGGCTGGTTGGCGGCAGCAGCCACCAGGAGAGGGGTCTGCAGGGGATAAGAAGGTCAGTCTGGGCCCCCAGGCTCGTCCCCTCTGAAAGCCAACAACCCAGGCCCCCAGACCTTTTCCCTTCAAAGCCAGGAGTCCAGGCCCCTGGCCCTCACCTTGCCCTTATGCTCACGGATGTCCAGATGTTTGTACACTTGGAGCATCTCAGCTGCGGCATATGCTGCCCAGCGCAGCCCCCGAGCCGCGAACAGATGCAGGAGCCTGAGGACAGGTAGGGGACAAGCAGTGAGCACAGCACCCCAGCGAAGCCAGGAACAGGCAGACGGCAATCCCCTATACTCACGTGTCTCCCTCCTCGTCCTGGGCCAGCAGCTGTTGTGGCCCCAAAGCCAGCATGTGAGCACGGGCTGTGTCCAGGGATGGTCCAGTGGCCATAGGGGGTAACTGTGGGGGTCCTAGGGGGAGTCCGGAACCTCTCCAGGATCCTGCCTGTGGCAGGGAAGGTTCTGCATAAAGCCGGGTATCCAGGGAGTCCTGAAGGATACATGTGGTGGGCAGAGCCAGTCAGCTGAGAATTCCCTCTTCCTAACATACACACGTACACAGACAGAGTGCCAGGTAGAGTGGCTGGGTGACCCCTCTGTACCAAGTAACCTTGGACCGTGGGGCCTCAGCTTTGCCCATCTGAAGAATGGGATCTTAATCTAGCATGAGGGCAACTGGGAATTTTAGGGGCCCTTCAGCATCCTCCTGTTCCCAGTCTGTATCTCACCTCCATCCCCACAGAAAATGAACACTGCCACCCTGGGTCGGAGGGCGGGTAGAAGTCAGGAGTCGGGAAGCCTTCAGCAGCAGAAGCAGGGTAAGAGTAGGGGCTGTCTGTGTAGGCAGCATGCGTGTTGGGGTCCCAGTCTGGAAAGCCTGTGGTGGGAGCCAGGCTGCCAAGTCCAGAACCCACAGTCTCTTGGTGTACTGGGAAGCGAGAATGGCCTGTGTGTGAGAGGAGGAGCAGGGGCAGGCCTGGTTACCAGAGTTGGGGAAGTCACGACCAAGGCTGGAGGACGGGTGTGAGGGCCTGGAATCTCCCAAGGTACTGACAGCTAGTACTTGTGGGACACCAAAGGGCTGGGACTCAGAAGCCAGGACACCAAGGGGTTGAAAGCTTGGACTTCTGGTGGCTGGACCCTAGGGACACTGAGGGTGGAGGGCCTAGACCCAGAGAGCAGCAAAAGGCTGGGAGCCTGGGCCCCTGGAACACCCAAGGACTGTGTACATAGACCCGTGGGCTCCAGAGAATCTGGGAGCTCAAACTGCTACCGGGTCCAAGCAAGAAAGAGGGTCTGACTCCTAAGTTCCCCAAAGTTCTAAGATTTGGAATGTTTGAGTCCCTGAAGAAAGCTGGGGCTGCAAGCTGAGGGAACCAGATGAGTTTCCAGACTTACCAGCCTCACTCTCATTCACAGATGGGGTCAGGGACTGGGCCAGGGGAGGCGGAAACTGTCCCTGTAGGGGGATAAACAAAAAAAAGGAACAAGGGGGAATTTATCTGACGGATCCCTCAGCATCCAATCCCCACCCACAGAGCATCTAAGTCAGGACTACACCTCTCATCTGCTCCGAGGGCCCGCAAGCCACCAAGTCTCTGCCCAACAGGACATAGCCTCACGAATTATAGTTTGCGGGGCTTCATGGACCTTACCGGTACCCCACCAGCGTCCGGCTGCTGCTGACGGCGCCTCTGTTCTTCCAGGAGCTTCTTCACGGTCTGTGATGGGCAGTGGCTGCGTTCACTCCGGCTCACTACGCGGCGGGGGAGGCGGGGGGGAAGCAATCAGAGGTCCTTAAGCCACCCAACTTCGCGGGGGAGTGGATTCAGGCACCCTCCCTCGCCCTCCTGCGCGGAAAAACTGGCACACTGACGCCGCCTGAGAACTCCAAAGCCAATCTTAGCTTTCAGGTGCAGCTTCCGCCTCCGCCGTTTCCTTCCCTTTGCTCCGCACTTTCCCCTCTGACCCAACTTTCCACCAGCGTCGTGGAAACTGAGGAAGGGGGAGGAGGGCGCTCCTCTGCGGCACCTCCCCCCCTCAACTTCCGAGAAAAATCCCAGCCCCCAGATCTCCCAGTCCCCAGGCCTGGGGCGGGGGGGCGGGGGTCGCTGGGAATCACTCCCTGGAGATGCACATCCAGGTTCCCAACATCTCTCTGCCCTAGAAGCTGACCTGACACACTTTCCTCGGGAAACCAGGCGTCCGAGTCCCCAGCCCCTCTCCCCAAGGAACCACGAATCAAGAGCCCCGAGCTCACCGGGGCTCCAGAAGTCCAGACCCCATCCCCCCTTCAGACCTAAGAGTCCAGGCCCCATTCTGCGGGACTCCGAGAGCCTAGTCCCCCTTTTCCCAGGACCCAGGAGTCCGGGCCCTCAGCTTCGCCCTCCCTTGCACCTGGCAGTCCCAGTTTCCAGAAGCCTGGTCCGCACCACCCCGGAAATCCGGACCCTCAACCCTCACCCTTCTGAGCCCTGGTTCCGGCGGAGGAAGGGTTAAGCGGAGGAGGGAGAGCGAACTCGGAAACAGCCCAGACACGACGTGCTGACGTCACGGCGCTCACGCAAGGGAATCTTCCATCCACCCCTTCCTCTCCCGGCGGCGCGCCGCAGGTGTCCCGCTTAGAGGCGGGGCGCGCGGCCAGGCGTGGAGCTCTCGGAATCCCCGCACGTGGGGAATTCCTGCTCAGCCCGGGGACCTGGGGTGGGTGGGGACTCGGGAATTCCCGGGGCCCGGGCAGGGTCAAGGCCAGCGTGGACCCCTGGGGCCGGGCGCCGGACCTGACCCACACCCCTCGTGGCTGATTTTTAAACAACCACGCCCCCAGGACTCCATCTCCCCCTGTCTAGAGCAAGGAGTCGGGGCCGCCAGCCCCTTCCTCCCGCAGGACCCAGGGGTCGGGGCTCCCAGCCCTGTCGCCCCCGGACCCAGGATTCTGAATCCCCGGTCCCTTACCCTCCCCCCACCCCAGGACCCAGGAGCCCAGAATCCCAGCCGCTCCTCCACCACCACCCAGAAGTCCTGGCCCCCTGCCCCCTCCAAACACCGAGTACGCTCACTCTCAGCACCCAGGCTTGATGCTCCAGCCCCGTCCCTCAGGTTCGCAAGAGCCGGCCTCCAGCCCTCGCTCTCTCAAGAGGCCGAGGGTGCCTCACCTCCCCAGCCCCTCCATTACCTCGCGGATTCCGTGGCGCGGATTGCGGGCCCCCAGGGCCGCGGCCTCGGCGCTGCGCCAGCCTCGCTCTTCCCCCGCGAAGCCGCCGCCGGGTCCCCGATCTAGGGTCGGTGCCCCGCGAGTTTTTAAACTGGGGTTCTGGCCCCGCCCAGTCAAGGGCAGGGCCCCGCCCACAGGCCCGGGAGTCCCCGGGTCGCGCTTGAACAAGCCCAGTCTGAATGGGCGGGGCTGACATTGAGGGCCAGACTCCTGAGCCTCCCTGGAAAGAGGGAGCTGGTGGACCCCATCTTTGGTCTGAGGGAGAAGCGGCTGGGGTTAGACACCTGAAGGAGGAGGGCACTAGGGACCTGGACTTCTGGGTCTCTGTCCAAGGGGTTGCCGGAGTCTTTGATTTCTGGGGCCTGGGCTGGGAGGGGACAGCATTACTGAGTCCTGGGGTAAGAGGATGCTGGGGTTCAGGACTTCCTGGTCCCAAGGGAGGGAAGGCTGTAGGTAAGAGTGACATTGGTGGACTCAAATTTTTTCTCCCTCTTCGCCACATCACCTTCTTTTTCAGAGGTCAGTTCTCGTTTATTCATTCGTCTTTAAAAATAATTTATTACTGCAAGGGAGGTACTTTGCTGGGTGCTGTGGTATAGCTGTGAGCTAAGAGGACAGGAACTCCCGGCCCCTCGAGCCAACTGACATTCCCAGGGGAGGCTCATTCTCAGCTCCCACGTGGGTGGCCATGTTAATCATTTCTCCCAGGCCTTCAAGACTTCTGCTCTCCTGGCTCTCCTCCCTCACATGTTGTTCCTTCCCAGTTTCCCCGGCTGTTTCCACCTCTTCACCCATTCTTGGGGGCCAGGGGCACTCCTCTGTCTGAACTCACTTCCTTGGTGATCTCATCCAGTCCCGTGGCTTTAAATACCATCCATAAGCCATCAACCCCAAAATTTACATCTCCAGACCAGAGACTTATCCCTGAATTCACAGATGCAGCTGTGGTCATCCAGTTCTGCAGGGAGATCTATCAGGCATTTCCAACTCAGTGTCCCCAGACCTTGGCACTTTCCCCCTAAACCTGCTCCCCTCCTTCTCCATCTCTGTCAAAAGATACTCAGTCTTTTCAGCTGGTTAGTCCAGAAGCTTTGTTCATCCTGAATCCCTCTCTCTCATACACACCCATACCTAGTGGATCAGCAAGTTTTGTTGGTTCTACCTCCAAAATCTCTTCAGAATCTCCTCAATGCCCACAACCTGGTCCATCTGTCACCTCCCACCTGGGACAATCATAGCAGCCTCCCTGGTCTCTGACCCTACCCCCAGTTCATCCCCAAAGGCAGTCACAGGGACCCACCACTTCTCCCCCTCTACACCCTCACACAGGAAGCAGGTGACCTTGCCACCAGCAGGGCAACATCCGCTATTGCTCCTCCTTTACTCCCCCACTGTTCCTCAGGACTTCTCTGGACCAAAGCCTTTTGCCAGACCGCTTCTTGCCCCCAGCCCACCATGGCTCCTTCAGGTGTCATCCTGCTCCTGCTTTTGCTCCCAGGTAAAGCCAGTGGTTATGGGGGGCGGCAGGCAGAGTCCTTATGAGAGGGGTGGCTTGGGTGGCCTCTGAAGGGAGGAGTGCTAAGGGCACGTCCTCCCAGGACCCCTTCCTTCCTGGAGATCTGTTCTGGCTTCAGAGCCTGGTTCTTTGGGGAGAGAAGCTCAGTCTGGGGGTAGCTGCCTGTCAATCTCCGCTTCTCACTGCTGGGTCTGTCTCTACTTCGACTTCTGATTTTCTGTCTCTCTGGCCTCTTTCTCATTTGCTCTCTCCGGAATGGAGGTTACTTCTCAGGACAGCACCTCTCCCTGCTAATCCACTTTCCCTCTCTTTTCACAGTGGCTGCAGCTGGGGTGACCCCAGGTGAGAAATCAGCACCCCTTCCCTTTTGCCGTGGTACTGCTTCTATCCCTGAAGTGTGGCCTGAGGGTCCTGGAACACCCCCGGTGGCTCTCTAGGTCACCAGCTCACCTCTCAGCCCCAAATCAGAGCCCCCAGGGGAACTGCAGTCCTTTCTGGGTCCCCAGATCACTGCCTCATCACCAAATTGAAGCCCCAGGGACTCGGCCACCCCCCAGCCTTCTTTGGGAGTACCCACTATGCCCAAAGAACCACATATGTCTCTCTATGCTGGGACACCCCCGCCCCCGCCCGCCCCCCCGCCCCAGGCTTCTCTCCAGACCCCCACCTCCCTTTTCATCCCGCAAGTCAACCTCAGGGAATCTCAGACACTCCTGCCTCCCCCCAGGGACTTCCTCGGGCCCCATAGGCCCCGAGTGCAGCCCTCAGGGTTTGGAACCTCCCTCAAGCTCCTTCTTGTCTCTGCCGCACCCTCCAGGTTCCTGTTCTGGATGTGGGCCCCTCTCTCTGCCAATCCTGGCAGGGCTCATGGCTGCCGACGCGGTGGTGTCGCTGCTCATCATTGCCGTGGTGTTTGTGTGTGCCTGCCCACGCCACAGGCCCCCCCTAGGTGAGGGCAGAGACAGGGTGGGGCCCGGAGGGAGAGGTGTCCCTAGAGAGGGGGTCCCCAAGGGAGGGGCCCCCCAGGGAAGCCCTGGAGGAGATGCTGGGGAAACCCTGGAGGCGGTGCAGGGGGGAACTCCGGAGGAAACCCCTGAGGCAGGGGGTCCCCAGGAAGGTGGAGATGTGGGTGGGTGGTAGGTGGTCAGGCCTCATGCTTTCTCTCCCCCACCCCCAGAAAATGACAAAGTCTACATCAACATGCTGGGCAGGGGCTGACCCCCTTGTGAGACCTTTGACTTCTGACCCTCTCATCCCACATTGTGTGTGGCCACACAGGAAACGCACTCCCCACTTTGGGGTGGAATAAAGCAATTAAACTACCTCTGGTTCTGATTCTTCCTCAAAGAACCCCAAGGTCCCCAAACCTCCCTCCCATTTAGCTGTTTCTGGGTCCATGATCCCCCAGAACCCCACATATCCCTGCCCCCTCAGCCGAGAGATCTGGAATAACTCAACAGTGTTTTTGTGTGCCATGTTTATTTGGGAACAGTAGTGGAAAGAAGTCTGACCCCTCAGGGAGGGCACTCTGTGGACCTGTGTCTTGGTGGGAGTAGGAATAGGGTGCTAGGGAGGCATCAGGAATGACTGGATCCAGGCATCAGGTTGCTGACTGCTGTGGTTTGGGCTCATTTGTAATAAGGCCTCTGTGTTTTCAGGTCACTATAGACATCTGACCTCTGACCTTGAAGCTCCTAATGGGAGGGACAGGGTGGGAACCATTAGTGGGTGAGGTCCACTGAATAAACTTATAACAAAATTCAGCCTTCTCCCAGTGGCCTATAAGGCTCCTAGCAGCTTCTTCAACCTTGTAGCCATGGAAAAGATCTGGCTCTTAATCAAGTGCATTTAGTGTTTCCCTGTCTCCTCTGCCTCATCATTTCGCCCCAGCCTCAGGGCCTTTGCATAAGCTGTTCTCTCTGCCTGGAACACGGGTTTCCTAGATATTCCCAGGGATGGTTCCTTCTCCCCCTTCAAGTCTCAGCTCATGTCACTTCCTCAGAGAAGCATTTCTTGATTTTGCCATCTAACTTCTCCCCACCAGACACACACTCCAGTCACCGTCACACCAGTTTTATTTCCCCATGATACCTCCCCAAATTTTCTTATCTCTTAATTTGCTTCAAGTCCATCTCCCCAACTGGGATGTCAACTCTCTTGCTATGTAGGTGCTCAACAAATTCCACTGAAGGATGAATAAATTAGAATATTGCTTTGCCCTAAAATTTCACTACCCCCGGTAACTGAAAATTCCCTCATTCTTCTGGACCTCACAAAGCCAAACTCGAGATGCTTACACTTTACAAAGAGACTTTTTATCCACAAGTGAGGCAAAGCAAACCTGGCTGCAGATAAGTAAGAGACTTCACAGAACAAGGCTTACAATTTTGGGGGGTGGGGTCTATGGCCTCAAGAGGCCCTCAGACTGAATCCCTGAAATCATAAGCAAATGTCTGGGTGTGCACCTTTATGGGAAGGGATCTGTTTGGCTCCCATTAGATTCTCACAGGAGCCCATGACCCCCTAAAGGGCACTGATAGAGAGGCAAGCAATGGAAAGATGCCTCTATCTAAGTGGTGGCTCTTTTTTTTAGAGAGAGAGCGCGCGCATGCGCACGTGGAAGGGGAATCATTTCTCGTTTTAGATTTATTTATTTGAGAGAGAGAGAGAACGAGTGGGAGTGGAGGGGAAAAGGGAAAGGGAGAGAGAGAATCCCAAGCAGACCCCCACTGAGCACGAAGCCAGACGGGGCTTGATCCCACAACCCTGAGATCATGACCTGAGCCAAAATCAAGAGTCAGATGCTTAACTGACTGAGCCACCCAGGCGCCCCTGCATGGTGGTTCTTAAGAAGGGTTTCAAGATACCTGTGCCAACCCTAGATTATATGCACAATTTTATAAATTTTTATGTGGATTTTTCTGAGGAGTCTCTAGCTTTCATCAGCTTCTCAAAGGGATATAGGATCTTCCAAAAAATTCTAAAACTCCTCTCTTCGGAGTTACCAAATTAGGGCTGAATTATGTCCTCTGCCCTTCTGAGAGCTTCTCCCAGAAATCATCCTGTCCTGAACAATTCCGTGCCTGCCTTCTCACTATGGCCTACATTTGCTCTTGCGAAGGTAAAGCCCTCCCTATGTTTTCTCACACATTTTAAGCTGAGCATAAGGTCATGATTGATCACTGAAGGCAGCTTTGGACAGATGCCCCATGAGTCTTTGAGGGTTTGAAATGTTGCTGAGAAAGTGGCTTTAGGGTCTAGGTTCTAGAAGGACTGGGGAAATGTTTAGGACAGACACCCACAGGGTAAGAGTGAGATGTGAGGAAGAGAAGCTGGTTTTCTCACCTGATAAGGCGACTCTGTCTCAGTGATGCGAGGTTTCCTGGTCACTGCTGGGGGATGGGGAGTAGCGCAGAGTGCAGAGATAGTTAAGGTGGTGAATTGGGACCATTTTGCTGCTACAAAATCAGCCCCTCCATCATTGTCCCTTTGGATGGTTGTGACTTGGGAGCTTACCCCTCCCTCAGAGGGTCCCAGGCTATCCCCTGCCAGCCTCACTCACCCTCCACAGCCCCTCGCCCCCGAGGGAACAGCCGGCCCAAGGAGTACACAGCCAAGGCGATGAGGAGGGTCAGCACCAGGTCCCCCAGCACGATCCCTGCCAGCACCCCAGGACTTACCACGGAGCAGTTGCATCCTGAGAATGTGGCACAGGGGTTGGGGGTGGTCATTGGGAGATGGGAACTGGCGGGAGGTGTCAGCAGGGGAAGGTGTGGAGAGACTGGGGAACAGACAGAGATGGGGAGGTCTTTAGGAGGTAGGGAGGGGAACTTCAGAGTCCAGGCCTACCGTTCTGTGCCTGGACAGGGCTGAAACCTGAGGAGAGAAAAAGAAGGTAAATTGAGGCATGGGGCTGTGATTGGAGGGTGGGCACAGGAGCTGGGGAGGGTGGGTCCTGATAGCTAGGAGATTAAGAGTGGAAAGCGATGTCTGGTGGGACCTGTGGGCCGGCATCAAGGTCACTGGACTAAGTTACTTCTACCCCGACTTGTCCTGTTGCAACATCCATAGAGTCCCCTCCCCCTGCTGTTACCAGCGGCCACATCTTGGGGTCTCAGGCTCTGGGAGACAGCCATAAGTTTTGGGGAACTGGGGATCTGCTTTCCCCCACCTCCCTTTTGGTTCTCTTTCTACCCCGCTCCCTGCTCTGCCCCAAGCTGAGCCCAGGGACTCAGGAGGCAGCTGTAGAAGCCCCCAACTCACCACCCACAGTCAGAAGGAGAGGCAGGAACAGGAGCCTGTTGGAAGGTCCAAGGACCCCCATGACGCAGGCGACACTGCTGGACACCGGAGTCCAAGGGCTGGTGGGATGTGGTGTAGCGTCCAACCAAGTGAAGGAGGAAGTCTGCGGTGGGTGGTGGCAGGAGGGAGGAGGGGACAATACAGGAGGAGGGACGGAGACAGATAATGCCAGGAAGAATTAGACCAAGACGCCCTGGGGGCCATGCTGTGGCCCCTAACCACTGGACATAAGAGGAAAAAGGGTACATGTGCCCATCCACCCCCGATCAGGGGTCAGCCCTCAGTGTATCAGGAAGAGTCAGTGGCTATTACTGAAGCGAGTTTTGCCTCTTCCTGGCTGGGCAAACTTAAACAAGTCATTCAACCTCTCTGGGCCTCAGTTTCCTTATCTGTAAAATGAGGAGTAAAATAGCGCCTATTTTGTAGGGGTTTGGGGGAGCAAATGGATTAATGTCTCTAGAACAGCGTCCGACACTCGTCAGCTTTTTATAAGCACCAGCTATAATTATCTGATAATCAGAACTTTGTGATGTTTATAGGATATTAAAAGAGAGCCATCAGGATATGGGCACTAATGAGCAGCAGGCGTTCGGTCCTAAGGTGTTAACTCTTTTAACCCCCACAACACCCATTGGAGGTAGATGCTCTCTCGTCATCCCCATTGTACAGAAAGGTACAGACACTCGTGCAAGGTCACACAGCAAATAAAGCTGAGAAGGAAACACAGGACCCAAGGACAGATATTTGACCCTTAGAGAGAAAGAAAAAAGAACCAAGATGAAAGATAGGGAAGGAGAAAGGGGCGGCGAGGCCAAGAAAAAAGAGAGAGGGATAGACAGTGACACAGATATGCACAGCACAGACACAGGACTGGGGGTTTGGGGTGAGGCGAGTGGGGGATGACATGCTGACCACTGGGCTGGGCTGCACCACCAAATGAGGAAGCAGCTGGAAGTGAGGACGGAGGGAAGGCACCCAGGAGGAGACAGGGACTTCTAATCCCCCCGACCAGAGCCTGAGCTGGGGCTCATTAGGAGGAACCTGAGGTTAGGGCACTGGGGGGATGGGCCCGTGGCAGGAAGCCCCCTTCCCCCATCCAGGCGTCACACCCCACAGCTCCCTGGGCCTGGTCTCAGGAGAGAAAAGGGGAAACTGGATGCCCGTCATGGGACAGACTCTGAGTGGCCCTTCGTGGTGGGGGGATTTGGAAGCCAGAGGAGGGTCAGGGCCCAGTCGGGGGTAGCACTGCCTACCAACAGCCGCCATCACCCAGGCCTGGCCCAGTCCAGTTGCTAAAGAACCACCCCCCCCCCCCCACCAGGCCTGCAGTGAGCGCGGAGAGAACTGGCTCCGGAGGGCCTCAAGGTGGCTGAAGCTGAGTGAGCCACAGGGCAGTCAGAGAGCAGAGGAAGCTCTGAGCCTGGAGGGTCTTGATCTGACTCTGGTGCTGGTGCTCCTGGGCTCCCTCTGGCCGGGCTGGGGGCGCACACTGTGGGGGGCAGGGCTTCTGGGGTCCAGTTTTATTGTGTTTGTAACATCTGCCTGGCACGTTGTAGCTGCTCAGTGAATCTTTTTTTTTTTAAGATTTTATTTATTTATTTGACAGAGAGAGACACAGCGAGAGAGGGAACACAAGCAGGGAGAGTGGGAGAGGGAGAAGCAGGCCTCCCACAGAGCAGGGAGCCCGATGCGGGGCTTGATCCCAGGACCCTGGGACCACGACTCGAGCCGAAGGCAGACGCCTAAAGACTGAGCCACCCAGGCGCCCCTGCTCAGTGAATCTTAATCACCATCCTCCTCATTACAGTTATTGTTATTAGTACTGCAAGTCTCCAGTTCTGGGCTCGCCTTGATAAACATCTTCCCTGAACCCCTCAGACTCAGGCCCCCGGTCTGATCCTCCTGACTCCAGCCAGGCCCGAGCTGTCCCCAGAATTCGGTCTCATAGCCAGCACACTCATGCACCAACCAATCAAGCAGCTGTGGCCATAGGGCCCTGTCTGAGTCCTGGAGCCC